TTTCTTCGCGGGTAAATAAAATTAATAAACGCAATGGAATAGGGAGGAAGTTGCTGCATATTCGCGAGAGAAAATGCGAAAGGCGTCCGAAGGGAGAAAATTCGTGTTTGTGGAAGAAATTCACGTACTTTCAGGGGGCGTAAATAAATGTGATTGTCGCAGTATTTTAAATCAGTAGTGAATGCAGATGATTTGCAAGCAGATGAGCATTTGAAGCTGAGCTGAACAGCATGATGATTTATGCGAACAGACGAGCAGGTGAGACTAGTGACGCCCCAGGTAAATCGCATAATTAAGTTCTACGTTAGTTTCGTTCAAAGGATGTTCTTTGCATGAAAAATGGCGAATTTTTGAAAACACTGGGATAGTATAAAAATTCTTGCGATGGTCTTGTAGGAAAATGTTTGTAAAAATAAAGGAAAAATATATAGAGAAAGGCGTCAAGAAAATTTGCACCTGGAGAAAAACCCCAAAACAGAGCCTTCTGGACATTTACGTGCACACTGCATATTTCACAGCTTGTTGAACACGTTTGTTAAACGTTTGTGGTACTCCACTGTAAATATGAGATGACTTGTGTTCTTCAGATAGCAAACATCATGTTTTATAGATTTCTAGCTGTGCACTATAAACTCACCTGGTAAGAGGATAGAATTATAATCTCTTAGAATAACGTGACTAAATTCGCCAATATAATTGAGTTTTTGATCAGGAGAAAACGTTTCTCGTCTCCTTCCTTCTATTTCCGTCTTATTCTAAAGGTATTTACATACAAACTTCTTCAAGAATTTTTCAATCATCCCCTTCCGTTTTAGAGTTGTATCCACAATGGCTAATCGCGTCTCCTCGCCTGTAGCGCTACTACATACCCACGTAACTTTACACAAAACTACTCCTCACGGAGTTTAATTCCAATCGGTTGAAAACTGCCATGTTTCTGAACCATTTAAAAATTTGTCCGCTAAGTTTTGATCGTTATTGTAGTTCGCTCGCTCGTCGTGCGATTAATCGAAGTGAAGCGATCGTGGCTCCTGGAATATCCCAAAAAGATAATTACACGCATTTTCCACTATTTATATTCCGAATTACAATAATAATTTTCCCCATTCTTCGTCACTCTATTCGCCAAATGGAGTGTGCGTTATGGAGACCGCGATCCTCCAGTCTCGAATCGTCCGATAGTCGACAATTCCTCGCGTGTCAGAGGCGCGCAACGGGGTAATTTGAAATCAGGCGAGTGAATGCCGTGTAACGGGACTTTTCAGCGGGGGTAACTCGGGTTTTAATTTCAAATTTCCACCCTTGGGCCGGGACGGTCGCGTCCGTATATAAATGATGCAATTGCCTTCGGTGCAGACGGGCGAAAATAAATTACGTTCACCTCCCTCGCCTCCCACTCGACAGAATCCAGCGCGTGCAAGGGTGGAACGATCGTGCAAATTTATTTGCGCCAAGTAGCACGAAAGAGTGAGCCGACCCTCCCCCGCGTTTCGAAGGGCTGGCAATAAAGGGATCACTCGGGTTAAGACGATTTATTGTCTAGGTAAGTTTACCATACTCGATAAAAATAAAAAAAGAAAAGAAAAGAAAGGGAAAGATAAAAGGAAAGAAAAAATGACGCCACCTATTTGCCCGCTACAAGCAATAAAAGAAGAAGGGCCGCGATAAGGAGTGATGGAGTCGATAACTCTCGAGTTTGACGCGAGGCTTATTGCCTCCTTGAAGAATCGCAGGACTCACAGGCTGCGTGAGACAGTTTTGGAGATTATTTTTTAGGTAGAGAATTGTTATTAGAAGATTCAAATTTCACGAGTGGTAGGCTGATGTGAAATCTATAGAATTTTCTATTTGATTTTCTTTTAATAAATGTCAGGAAAATACTACGTACTCCGTGAACCAGCCCATTTGTCAAGAATTCTTTATTGTTGGAATTTCGGGTGCCCCAGTCTGTGTAATTCGTATTTCGTTCAGACGGAACTCTATTTCAACGGTGGTCCTCTCGCTTTGTTCAGAAAGAGACATCGATGTTGGAAATATTACACCTTCTTTTTAGATTTATGGGTCCCATTCGGAGATGGGAGAAATTCTCATCTGGATAAAGAATTTCAAATAACAAATGAGGGTTGAACAGCTCTCTGCCTCCTGCCTCCAAATTGCGTTCCACGGTTAATAATTGTATATATTGTTGACTTCTTTATAGTAACTCGAGTTTATCACATAGACTTCACTTGAGGATCACACCTTTTTCGCTTCCCCCGACAGAATATATTTATCGTTTATTTCGAATGCTTTCCAACAAGGATAATTGAAAGTTTTATCGGAATTCTCATACACTCCAATACCCGACGGAAAGAAAAGAGAACGTGTTCCCTGTGAAGAGTTTGTCGTACGATAGTTTTCAGTGGATTTTATTTCAGTCGAATTGCGCGGACAGTTAGAAACTCGCATCGATACCGTTCATCACTTTTTCTACAGTATTCATACGTAGGTAGAATTTATCGCGTAGAGGGAATTTTAGCAACCCTCCTGTTGAACAATAAATCTGCGATGACCATCGATCAGGGAAAGTCAATCAACCGATAGCTCTGCGCCGACGTTGTGTAAAAAACAAACGTTGGTGTAAGATTTATCGCGCGTTTGGCCTCGTTGTCGATCGCCTAAATGCCACTTGACATAATGTGGGGTACCTGTCGTTGCAACAGATGATTTCACCTCATTTCCAGGTAGTCTCTATTTACCTTCTCCACAGGTAAACAGATTGAAAGGCATGATTAACTTTGAATGAAATGGGACAAGAGAAACGAAAACGTTTAGGCAACGAACCAATTTATTTATTAAATTGTCTCCAAGTTCAACAAGTATCTGAATTAAAGATTACTGTGGACTCTGTGATCTCTATATTATTAAACGATGATACATAGCCGTCTAAGGCAAGGTTAAATGTTGATTAATTAAAAAATTACCATTAGACGGTTTGTTTTCGGAAGATCAACAGTAGCCAAAGACTGTAACCCGTTTTATTCACTGTCGACACAGGTGGTCATATACCAACAGCCAAGAATGACTCAGAGGTCAGGCAAATGAAAAACTATTCTAGTTTTTCTCGGGATTTATCATGTATTTATTTATAAAATAAGAAGTTACAAAGTCTCGATCCATGAGACACTTAGTACAATATTATTTCAATATTATTTCAATATTATTTCAAAGTACGTTCAAGTCTATGTAAGAACTCTTATGCAATAGTATCTAATGTTACAACCTAGGTTTATATTTTGTCTTGTGAGTTTATGCTGGTATTTATTACAGATTAAAGAAACAAAACTCAAATAAACCATTATTTTTCGCGGTCATTTAATTGACACAGATATCGTCATCTAGCGGTGAAGGGTCCGAACTAATTTTCGGAGTTTGGTCAGCGCCTCTCTCGGGAAAACGCTCAAGTATGTCGCCGAATAGTTCCTATGTACACTGTTAGATGGAGCTATTTGTTTAAAATTACCGACATGTCGGTAAATAATGAAACAAATGGCGCCGTCTATCGGTGAAATCATGAACTAATTTTAGTTCGAACCTGCACCGTTAGATGCCGCCATTTGCATCAAATTACCGATATTTCGAAATATTTAATTTTGTATGCTTCATACGTTCTATAAATACAATATAAGTGTACTACGAGCGATGTAATATTAGAATTGAATTGAAGGAACGTTTCTCCGCCCTCACGTGATGCAAAAAGTTTATAAAATATCGTAAATCCAACGGTAAAGAAGTCAGAATTATCTTCCTCTGAATTTTGTTAAGAAAATCAATTTAAGACCTTTCCCAGTCAACGCAACGAGAGTCATAGGTTCCATTTATTGCACTTTATGCGTAACATGATGTAAAACTATGTTTATATGCACAGAAAAGCTGGAAAAATTAAAAAATTGAATGTTGGTAATTCTTTATTTTATGCGCCATCTAATGGTGCAGGTACGAACTAATCGAATCATTTACCGACATGTAGGTAATTTGAACAAATGGCTCCATCTAACAGTGGACATAGGAACTATTCGGCGACAAACTTGAGCGTTTTCCCGATAGAGGCGCTGACCAAACTCCGAAAATTAGTTCGACCTCTCTACCGCTAGATGGCCACTCTAATGAACTAGAAATGCGCGCGAATTTCGATTCAATAGATGCTTCGTATTTGTTTAAAAATTCAAATAAACATGTTTTGCGGGTTATTACAAGTAAAGAATTCATTTATGAACAAAGCATCTCTATTTTTATTGAGACATTTTTATTGTTTAGCATTCTTAGAGACAGTAATTTTTGACCCAGAAGCTTGAAACTATCACATTTCTAACACATTTCTTCATAATTAAACAGTTCAAACCTACCTTGTAAGTCCAATATACTGGTGACAAGGGATCAACAGTGTCGATTGATTAAAGTAGCAGTCCCTACGAAGTAGTAGCAACCCTCCCCAAGTGTTTATCTCATAAATCGCTTCGAACATGATTGAATACCTCGCGATTTAAACGGCCCGTTTATCGACCCCTAACGTAGCCATCCTGTCTCCAGATTAACTACTAGATCCGTATTTCTAGCCAACGGAAATGCGACTGACGCGTAGCTGATAAGCGTTCGCAATTAAGCTGATTGACGTCTGGTTTATGGCCTTATCTGTAGCCACGAATTGTCGTTTTAACGAATGACTATTTTCGATGGAATGAAAATGGAATCGATGTACAGATTTCAATCTTCAAAATACTCGCATTTACTTGAGATAACTTTGCTTCTTCTTTAAGACCATAGTCGAATTGTATATTTTATAAATATGTTTATTTTAAGAGACTATGTGAAACCTTTATTTTACCTGCCTTCTCTTGAAGCAGACATTTTCCAGCATCCTAGAGACAAAGGAAAACCAAAGAACTAATAAAGATAACAAAGAAAAGGGAATCTGAATGGAAGGGGTAGGGTGACAAAAAATGACAAACACGTTTAACGGCTTTCGTATATTTTTCTTACAAAAATACCTCTTTATTGTAAATGGATCGTCGACGGTAGTTACACGGAAAGACAGTTATCCATCCACAGAGAAGCGTTGGGGGATCCCGACAATCTCATACGGCGAGGAAAGAATGTGTATCTCTTTTTCTTTTGAATTAACACTCATCATGCTTGGCAGCTTTAATATATAATTGTATTTTGTTGCTTTTTGTTCGTTATACGCGTGTGTGTGTTTTCGTGTGTATAACCTTTCGCTTTAATATACCTTGTTTTTATTTAACATTTCGTTTCGTTTATCTTTACTTTAGTTTTCTTTATTTTTTTTTATTTGTATTTTTTTTTTTTTATTAATTCGCGTCTTCGTTTCAGCAGTACGCGCTGAATAATTTGATTAACACTTAGACAGTGATAGTGAAGTCTTTAGGCGATTTCGAGAGCGAGTTAGAAGGAAAACCCGTCCTCTTCCTGTGGAGCTTCAGCTTCATGTCGATGTCGCACTCGGCTTCGCTGGTCTCGTGCGCGTCTGTGAAACCTGTCGGTGGCTTCAGTTCCAACGTAGACAGCTCGCTGCCCCAGTCCTCTTCTCTTCTCACCATCCTGGAGGAACCTGGCTCCTCCAGCAGGCACAGGGACTCCATGGATTTCCGGGGGCTCGCCGCCCTTCCCAGCCTGTCGCAGGAACCAGGCCTCGGCGTTCGGCTCGGGGATGCCCCCCTCGAGAACGAACGCATCCCGGATTCCGAGAGCTTCATCACGGGTCGCAGGATACCCGGCACGCGAACGTCGATCCCGATGTCGGGCGTTGCTCCATGATTCCTGAAAAACCACCCGAAACCACCGGACCATCAGACACCGGTTCAGATCCTTTTCAGCATTGCATTTTGGGAAGCAATGGACAGTTAGATTACAAGTCGATGTTTTTTCTTGGAAGACACATGTTTCGAGAATGGTGTGTCGTATTTTAAGGGAGTTCGACTGTGCCGTGTTAAAGCAGGAAATATTTGTCGCTCAAGGTGACCAGATTGGCATCCCTACCATACTGTCTTTAATTCCACCTCTGTCTACATCAAAGGTGCATATAGACATAGTATATCTTCCAAATGGAGATTTCAATTTTTACTCAGAGAATGAACTTCGAAGACGCATTCAATGTCTTAAAATTATTTAGAATGAAACTTCATATCTATAATTCCTAAAAAAATCCTTCAAAAACATTCCTCAATGTCTTCACCAGAAAGTGCAGAGAGAGGAGGCTCCTTCAGATCCTACGTAATCATTGTAAATATATAAATTTCTATAATACATCAAGAGTTTATTCGTCCGAGTCTATTCTATCCAACAAAGACACAGTGGAAGTGAATGTCCTATTTAGCTTGGAAGGGGAAGTGACCTCGAGCGACCAACGTTTCCAACCTCGACTGCACCGACAATTTCTGTTTCTCACCTTTGCTTCTCGAGCCTCGGGAAGGTCTTCCTCTCAGAAATTGGTGACGGCTCGGTTGATGTACTTGATTCGTGCGTGTGGTACAGCACATCTGGAAGGTGCACGCGAGACGTTGATGCGAGAAAGGCGAGTCGTTAGTGGCGACCGGATGCTGTTAAGGCTGTTGGCGGCGTCGACACAGAAAATCGAATACTAACTTACTATGATGAACCGGCCTCGGGACCAGGGCTAGTCGTTGCTCCCTCTGCACGATCGAGTTCGGTCCGGGTGATCGCGTCATTATCGACGCCGGCCCGGAGTCGTCCAGGTGATTCGAGGACTCCGTGCGACTGCTGTTGCCCACCTCCGTGTCGCTGTCGGAGCCCAAGGTGTCGTACTCCTCCGACTCCGATTTGAACGATTTCGACTTGCGACGCGCCCTCCCCCGCACCTTCGTGTATTGGTCCATGTCGCACTGCAACGTTCCCACGTTAGACACAAACACGCCCTTGAAGCGAAATCGCGCACGTTACCAGGTCCAATTACCAAGCTTAACTGGGGAGGGTCTTCCAACTGAACGACTCAAGGCTTGTCAAACATTGTATCGACGGTGGGATAAGTTGGCCTGTTAAGGTCACTTCCCCTCCAATGGTGAATCGCGATCTGTTAGGGAATGACTACTGTGAAGGCGTCTTGGAGGCCGGTGGCACTTTGAGGGATAAATTTGAGGGTCGAATGAGAAGGTTCTTGGTCAATTTGAGGAACAGAGATTTGGTATTTGAGATGTTTCTTAAATTTAGATTTAGAGATCTGACATGAATGTTGGATCCATTTAATAAGTTTTGAATTCGAGTCCTCGTTTAATTTGAATAATTGAGGTTTCATTTTTCAGGCGATTATGTATAGCTGTAAATATTAATAAACGTGAGACTTATAAGTAGCTGTAGGAAACAGGCATATATCTATTAGGAGTTTGCATTGAAAGCCGCTGTTTTTTAACCATTTATTTCAATAGTAAAGTATATAAAAGTATCGATCGAAATATTTGCCCTCAAAAGCTACTACTTTTTCCCACTTTTCTGGCAAAAGTTGAATTCCGCGACGAAAGAACGGTTCATCTTTCGAGCTTATCCATTCAGCAACCCAATTTTCAACTTCTTCGTAATTACGGAAATGTGTCTCCTAAACCATGTTGCATCGATCTGAACAAATGATAATCACTTGAGGCCAGGTTTGGAGAGTATACTTGGTGAGGGAGAATCTCCCATTCGAACTCCATCAGTGTTTCTTTTATAGTTCTAGCAACATGAGACCGCGTATTGTCATGGAGAAGGATTTGATGCAATTGATGGTCGTTTTTCTATCAAATTATCGTGTAAACAACTATTATTTTAACAACTCATAATGTACGACAGCTCTAATTGTCTACAGTATTCGCAGTAAAATCTACGTACACATAAACAGCGACTTTCAACGCAACCTCCTAATACATAAACCTAAAGTCTGAGGAGGAACGAGGACAATTTTCCAAATATGATGTAGAGAAAAAGTAATTTTAGAGGTAAGAAGAGGTTGGAGGGCCCGCTGAGGCGACCTTGACAGGCCAATTCATCGCGTCTATGATAAAAACGGTCCTCGAAGAGGCGATAGAATTAGCAGCGGCGTACCTGATTGCCCTGCAGCATCGTTTCGCTGCGTTCGTAGTAGAATGCCTGTCGTATCGGGTTCGCCGAGAGGTTTTCCTGCTCAGGCAGATTGAAGGTGGCGTACGGATAAATATCTTCTGAATATTCGGGAATTCTTTCCAGCGCGCTCACCTCGCGACAGGGTGATTGCTGGCCGGGCTTCCTCACGGTGGCATAGTACTGTTCCCTCTGCTCCATGTTGTGCTTGTTCTCCAGAGCCGCCTGGGTTTGCGAATTAGGGTCGTTCGCGCGGCCAGAACGTTCTGCATCTGCAACCATCGGGACCAGGTCTCTAAAAACGGAAGACTCGACACTCTCCTCGAAGAGAGGAGGCCCAATATTCAAAACGTGTTTCGTTGGTGTTTGTAGCTGCAGTGCATGGAGCTATATTACAATTCTATTTTTGAATTAATCGATTTCATGTAAAATGATTTTGTTTGAGGTGGTGTAAGTTTATAGCTGTAGTTTTTAAACTATACTGCAACTCTATCTCTCGACCCAGGCCTTGGTACCTGATACATTTCTTTATTAAATTTGTACCAACCCAAGATAGAGAATGTGAATACAGTATGCCAGAACTGACAATGGTATACATTTATTTTATAAATCGAGAGATCCGTTTAAGGATGTTACACCAGATCGAGCACTGTTCGATGATTCACACTCCTATTCAGGAATCAGGACATATTAGAGATCACAGAGCCAAGCTAATAGAATTTTCTCTATTGGATCCGATATAATGGAACGTCCTTATTTCATCAAAGCACGTATTAAGTACGGAACACGTTGTAAACCGCTTTCCATACGATCTTTGATACCAGATTGCGGTATCGAAGAGAATCTCAACGCGCGGGGTCGCCTTTAACAATCTGTCGGGAGAATTTCTACGAACAAAACCTGGAGGAGTCCGTCGACCAAAGCTCTGCGTTACGGTGGGAGGCAGCTTAACCGGGAGTAGTTTGCTTCGAAAAACCACGTGTCCCCGTCGGTCGTCGCGTCGACGAAGACAAATGAGCCTCCACGTGTTACCTAGGACATTGTAAACACAATCTCTCTCGAGCAGCGAGCTCGAAGTGGCTGGAAAGTTGACTTGTCGTGCTGGATTTCGAAACTTTAGTGGAGGCAAAACAATTTATTATTAAGAGCTTGCAGGACGGAGTTTTACGATAATGACGCTATGTTTGAGGAATATTTCCCACCATCGACTATCGATTACTAATTACTACCCTAGAGAATACTATATCGACAGAAATTTTGTGACAGGACTTCTGGAGTCTCGTCATTTTGTCTTCGATGGCGACTGATCCAACGCAGAGTACTTTCAACGTACTTTTTTATCAGACATATCTAATTATCAGAGTCACTTATGCATTCTTAAACAGAGATTTAATGCTTGTCTAATTATAGTTAATCAACTTTTGGTTCGTATTAGACAGGAGTCTTGAAGCTACAGTCTTAGACTGACTCTTCAAGTCAAGAAACGTTTACTAAAATTGACCTGTGACTTGATCTATGAAAAAGAAAACAATAAAAAAAGAACATGCTTAAATCCTTCTGCTTTCCAATAAATTGCCTAATAGAAAATATAATTCAACTCGTTACGTGCAAGTGCCTTATAATATTCAACACGAGAAATGCAGTCCGGGCTAATTGGACAAAATCTGCGCTTTCTCTATTAACCATAAATGTTTGCCGCTGGTATCGTTTGCCCCATAATGGCGGATTCCGCGCGAGCCAGCACGCACGGTCGGCTGACGGCACCGTCAACAACGGCTGGCATAATTGCGTAGAGCGTTCCCCAGCCCCGGTCGACAGAGCTCTTAATTAATCGAATCTCCCGAAGCGGGTACGGGAATGTTAACGTTACTTCAATAAGAGCTCGTTCGAATAAAACGTCACGCGCTGCGCGAAGTGGACGAAGAAGTAGAGGAAAGTGGCGAGAGGCCAGGAAACCTAATTCAATCTATTTTTTGAAATTCTAAGCCAGGAGACCATCTTAAGAGCCTGTGTCTCGTGGTTCGCCACCCTCGAATAGGCGCATTCGTAATTGAAGCACAATCCTGCGACGTTTAACTACTTGGCAGCGTTGAGTGCCTCGAACGAGGCGCCGGCACGCCTTTCTGGCTTAATGCAAATTGCCAGTGCCGCTGAAACCCTATCTGTACCCTCGAAATGGTGACCGACTCTACGGGGTTCGACGACTCGTCTCACGGAGTTTCGGCCAGCGATCGATGGAACTTCGTCAAGCTACATAGATGTATCTTCGTACGTCATAGGCAAAATCAGCTCTGGTTTGCTTGGATGACAATTGAACTTAATTATTAATAGCAGTTTATAGAACCTTGGGGCCTCTACATTACAATTTTAATACTATTTGGGGATACTTGAGGATTTGGAGAAATTGTGGGCTTCTGAAGAGGGTGATGATCAAGCCCCCTAAAAAATCTTGCAACTTCAGAGCCTTAAATTAGTACCTCTCATTTTTAAAATTACAGTAACATGTATTTCTAGTTATTTCATCTGCCCTTTTTATATCAGAGCCACGAATCTCAACTCCGAGAATTGTTGACCTACTGAAAACCCTCTCCTCTCTTAATAAATCTGAAAGTACTCAAGCTTCCAATCAAGCTTAACTCGCGAATAACCATCCAATTCATCGATACTAAGCCCATTAATTTCAGAATTCCACCATAAGATCATCCTCTAACTAAACATCACGCGAAGTCAAAAGCTCCAACGGTTAATCTCCAAAGTACAAACTATTGAAAAACCCTTCCTTCGCCCATCAAACCAGATGCTCTTCCTGGAGCTATCGATTCCGTTTCAGGGTGGTATTGGGAACTTACGCGTTTTCAGGCAGAAGCAGATGCCAGCCACCGCCAGGAACACGGCCAGAAGCGATATCACGCTGGGCGCGAGCACATGCGCGTCGAAAAACAGAGAGGTCTCCACGGTTTCCGGTGGATGCTCGTCGTGCATTCGATTGCCGCTGCTTGGCGACGACGTGCTGAACAGATACTCGGCCTGCGTGGAGCCGGCGTTGTTGTAAGCTGTCACGCGAAGCTCGTATTTGGTGCCGCTCTCCAGATTCATGATGGGGAATCTCGACAGCGGCGGCACGTTGTTCGACACTGGAATGAAATTATCATCGTCGAGACGTGTAGACGGAACCCGGACTTCGACAGAGGAATTTATTATTACATTATCGATAGATCTGGGAACTAGACGTGAATAGTAAAGGGCTCTTTGCACCAGCGCCAGATCGTTACAAATAAATTCTATAAGCGTGTGTATAAGGGTTACAAATAAAGATTGTTGAAAGATGCTAAGCTTTATGTTTAAGAATGCTAAGCACAGAGTGTCTGCTGCGAGACACAAGTATTACTTCAGATTCTATCTACCATTTTTTCTTGTTCACGTACAAAGTTTCTTTTTCACTTTTCAAAATGATTACATGAACATTATATTACGTTGCGTTGCTTTGAGCGGTTGTATTCTTTTATTAAGGCAACATTTTGTATTATATTTCGTGTTTCAAATAAACATTTATTTGCAAGAAGGATAAGAAAGAATATATATACACATTTTACAAGAAGACACTCGGTAATTTGTATACATCTTTCTCTAGATGAAGATTGAACTATGATTCGTGTACGTGTACCCTTGTATGTAGAAAAAACCTCCTTTATACAGTGAAGATACTAAAATCCAAGAGCGAAAGTGTTAGGAATAAGTTACCACATAGTTTGGAGCCTGCAACGATCTAAACTCTAAGTAAAAACACCGAGAAGTATCTTACCCAGCAACCAATCTCCAGGTAGCCGTCTGTACTCGACGACGAAGTACAACAAAGGGCATCCACCATCCTGCCAGGCCGCCAGCTCCAGATTGACGATCGTCTGGTTGACCTTGATCAGTTGGTGCTTCGAGGGAGGAATAGGCTTCGTTCCGTTGGTCTTCGCTGTCTCGATTTTACTGGCGCTTCCGCTTCCAATTCTGTTGAAGGCCGCCAAGGTGAACTGGTACCTGGTCCCGCACTGCAAGCCCTCCAGCAGGTGCGTGCTCGCCTTGCGATCCAGCATCACCTCCTCCCATTCGGAGAACTCTCGACGATAAGCCAGCAGGAATCCTCTTATGGGGGCGCCGCCATTGTCCCCCTGTTTCCATTGAAGCTGCACGGCGTCGGTTGTAGTGCCGGTTGCCAGCAAAGTCGGTGGTGTTGGCGGCACTGTGCAAAGTTTGTCAATTAGAACGGTCGACTGACTGTTTGGGAACGTCTGGTTCGTCGATCAATTGCACAGAACGGCGAGCAGAGCTAGTATCAACCGAGCGGCAAGAATCGCGGTAGAGTGACCGTCGAACTTCTGCACGATATGCTGCAACCTCGGTAAATTAGTCTCGTTGGAACTAGTCGCAACAGAGGGATGCGCTGAGCGAGGTGTCACTTGTAACAAATTATGTGCGTTTAGCAACCCAGAGACTGTATAACTAACATGTGTTTCAAATTGTGTAGCATAGGTGAAGTGCCTCGAGTAGGTACCACTGTTCCTAGATGACTTTGACTGATGAGTTGCATTCGAAGAGTTCTTAGTTCACATTTGGTTATTCCAACTGCCGTATTTTTAATGACGGTGGTGACTTTATTCGCATACTGTTACTAAGGGCCACAGCGAATGATATATAATTTAATTCAATTATCGACAAAACGTGATATTGGAGATTCATACTCTAGGAAGGGATATCGATTCCCGTTCGTAACGGGCTGATGTAGTGCCGGACCGTTGATACTTCCTACCGGGCAAATGCATTTTCGACTATTGTAATCTGCAGTTTGGACATGTATATCTTCATTTCGTTGCAGGTTTGATTGATATCATTTTCTTTTGTTGGTCAGACTTAGCGAGGCTCACTTGTAACTGCTTCCCGAAGCATTTAATCAGGTATTAAAATTGCAAAACCCACTAGGAAGGATGTTCACAACGTTCTCCTATCTATCATTAAGATTTAGAACTTGGACTGAGTAGAACATGGACTCCCAAGGTCCTCCACGAAACAGTAACAGAGGTTACCAAAAGAGGCGATCTCTAGAGAATCCTCCTAACAGGAAGTACTTTATCTCGCAGCACACGTCCTAAAGCTTCCAAAAAGAAAACAGATGTTCCAAATGTTCTCTTATCTATCATTACGATTTAGAACTTGGACTGAGTAGAACATGGACTGCCAAGGTCCTCCATGAAATAGTAACAGAAGTTACCAAAAGAGGTGATCTCTAGAGGGTGATCTCCCAACAAGAAGGCCTTAATCTCACAGCACAACTCAAAGCTTCCAAAAATAAACACTTTTCCAACTATCCAAAATTCTACCAACCCCTCCCATTAACGTAGTTAAACTCCCACCAAAAGCTACCCCAACTGGACTTCTTTCCAGGTCCTCAGTTCGCCCCCTTCCAGCCAGAAAGAACATCCAGATGGACTCGGACTCGCGGAAAATATATTCCTCGGGATTTTCCCCGAAGCGCATAAAGGCTGCAGTCACGTACAGCTACGGTGCACTCGGACGATCGCAAGATTGCATAGGTGTTGCATAGACGTCTATGCTCGTTCGTCCGTGTGAACGCGCGTGACGTTTCAGATAACGAAGTATCTCCCGGCGAATGTATTCAGCGGGGCCGTTCCTTACGTGCCGTGTTCGAATTATTCCCACGAGAATAATGGGACTGGCATCGGGATGGAAAACAGTTTAGCGCAACTTTTAACGAACTGCTGGGGGGTGACGAGCCCGTCCCTCTCGCTGACCCGCTCTGTCGCCATTGTCGCGATAATACGCACCGTGAAAGTTTCCCTCGATAGCGGGGACGTCGCTTTTGGAAAATTGGCGGAATTTAGGCCGTCGACACGATTCGTCTCGCTGCGGTATTGTCGAGGAATTATCTCCCGTTCGCGAATATTACTATTAGCGCAATAAACGTCGTGAAACGTTGGGAACGAAATTGGCGAACTCGGAAACGAGGAACGTCGCATAACATGCTTTTTGGAAAGTTTGTGCATAGCTTGAGCGTAGAAAAATGTTAGATCGAGATGGAAATTACCTTTGAAGGCATTAATGAAGTACGCGATGAAAATTAAAAAATTCTTTGTTCCACCATGAGTGCAGTTCATGATATCGAAGCATTTCTCTTAAGGAGAATCGCACTGTTTTTAAATGGAATTGTTTGATTTTATAGACAACTGAATTGTGTTATGGTCAGGTAACGTTACTTACACCGTTTAAAAGTCTATTCGTTCGACCAACGAGAACAAAGTCACCCAATTTCGACGCGCCTGTGCGTAACAATTTCTCGTGTCCTAAATTCGAGAAATATAAAACTTCCACGCGGATGTCCAGTGATAGAGGTCTGTATACACACTGTATAAATTGCATTGTTTTGTACAATATGGAATTTTGGACATTTCTAAAGGTCAGCGCATTCTCTTTCGCCATTCAATCTAGTGAAATAAAGTAACATATCCTGCGAACTAAATTTCGAATAAAGAAGACAATACCAAAAAAAAACATAGAATTTTGAGGAGCTTTTGTTGATACATATTTTCGATAAACTGTATCGAAAACAAACATCCAAACAACCAGAACACATTGAATACGACTCGTTACAATACTCTGACATATATGTATTTTGTATTTGTATTTTCTTTATTAAAAACTAAGGTAGTTCTTTACGAAGAATAAAGTGAATAATTATTTAATTCGCTTTACGTAACCCAGTGAAAAAGACTGAGCGCCTGATTCAGAGAAAACCTCGACGACTGCGCGAGCATAGCTGGATTTGTTTTCCAAGCGTTCCATCCCCGCCTCACCTACCTTGAACTTGCAGGGTGTACTCGATTTTGTCCGAGCCGAGTGGATTCTTCACGTGGCAGGAATAGTTGCCCTCGTGGGTCCTCTGTACGTTCCTCAGCGTCAGCGCGTTGTCCGGGCCGATGTCGGATCTGCCGGGAATAAGTTCGCACGATCAAGATTTCACGAAGGATCTCGGTTACGAGTAGTTTCGTCACTTACTTCTGCTGCAGCTTGATGTCGCCGCGACGCCATTCCACCGTGGGTGGCGGAATACCGACAGCGAGACAAGCCATATTGACGTCCACCCTCCACGGCACCACGAGCGGCACTCCGAACGATATTATGGCTGCTGGAACTAATTAAAAGTCCTGGTTACCCTAGCTCTTCGTTAAACTTCCTCGAGCTGTGATCCGTGTTTGAGTTCAGTTTCGAAAGTTCGCCGCGGACTCCGCCACTCCTGAGCTCCGTCGTTAAGCCACGGCCAGGAATTTTTCCCAACGGTACTTAAAGAACCGGGGTGCTCGCCGAGTCGAGTCCAGTTTCGATAATCGGCAACAATTCCGAAAATGGAAGAGTCCCTGAGACGTTCTTAACGATCCTCGACGTGTATTACGTAAAAATTGGTGACTTCCGATAGGTAGTGTATTTAATTATTTGAAGAATTCACGATTCTACATTGACGCTATTCAGAGATTTGTAAGTGGCAGAGTTTGTTTATGCTGAGCGTTTCAAGCTGGTTGACCCTCTGACAGAGCTGAGGCTGGGACATTTTTAACCCGACTTTCATAGTTTTCCCTGATTGCCGAGCAACCCAGAAAATATTTAAAAAATGGATCCCATTGGCGCCAGTAACACAATCGCCCCGAAAAGTCACACGTGGTAAGTCAGGAACCGACCAGGCTCAGCCGCGCGAGGGTTCACATGCACAGCGAAAGTTCATCGGAAACTTCGCACCGATTTATAATTAACGCAGCCTACGATTCTCTCCTATCGCCCTTCGCACACTCTTCAAACTTCGTCAAACTCGAACGACAAGAAAGTGCGAAAGCATCCTCGACTGAAGTTCAGTCACTGAACGTTTCAGGTGCGTCGAGCCGACCCTCGCGAAGGTTCGTTCCATCGCGCACCGCATATGGAAACACAGTTTTAGCTTCATCCGACGTTGCACACGAATTTTACTGCTTATCGGCACTGTTTCCAATTACTGTCGCAGAACAATGCGTTACAATTACTATTTCGAGCTGCAGGTGAAGTTGGACTGAATACCAAGCTGCGGTGTGGAGTTAAGTATTTTATTATGATTTTGTAACTTGTTGAATGATTACAGTAATTTATCGTACGATGCGTTTAGTTCGACTTTCTGTATTACATTTGGTGTAGACATATTGGTTACGTGAAACAGAGTGTTTGATTATCAGATTGAAAGAAATTGACCCGATTTTTATCATTCTTAAATATGGAAGAATTCTTTAAACAATCGTTCTTTGAAGTCTAATATAAAATTCAGTCCAAAAGGCCAATCCTCCCCAAGGTCCACAGAATTCGCAAAACCACTAAATTCGACGTCCTGTATTTTCGAATCGAATCCAAAACCATCAAAGCGATGACTTAAACCCTCCCTGATATTACACAAATCCCAACTCCCATCAGTTTTAGCAAAATCCCCTGAATCGATCGCGAACAGCGATCGACTCTACGTGGAGCGATCCAAGAGAGAGAAAATACCTGAAACGTGGGATCGCGATTCGAACTCTCAGGAGGCTAGTCTCGCGAATTTTTCATATCAAACTTTCCCCATACGATGGCTCGATTTTCGCGAAGGTGGATCGATGAGCTCGGACTCGAATCGATTCCTCGGGGAGGAGGGACATCGTCCACGAGACGGAGGAGCGAATCACAAGGGTCAAGAAGTTTCGCGAAAGCGGTCAGGGGTTACCTGTATTGCTCAGCTGAAGTTTGATGTCCGGAGTGCTAGGTCCTTGCCCCACTTTGGTGGAGGCCGTAACCCAGGCCTCGTAGGACTCGCGCAGCTTCAGCCCCGTCACCTCGTGGTGCAAGTTCTGCGCAGGCAACGAGCTCTTAGTGATCTTCACCTCCTGGCCCTGGTCCAACACCCGAATGTAAACGGTATACTTGGTGAGGACGCCGTTCGGTCGACGGGGTGGTAGCCAGGATATCACCACCGCGTCCTCGTTGCTGGTCACAGCCTTCACACGGTCCGGCGCGTCCGGAACTGAGAACAGAACGATGTTGTGACGGAGGATATCGAAGAAGAAAAACGGCGTGGTGGTTGAAAATGCGAGGCAGCTGGCCAATACTGGTCGACTAGTTGAGTGACATAAAGTAAACCTTGTCTAATAGGAAAAGTTGGGAAATCCCTGTGTAAGAGGCGCATGGTTATCCCTACTATTTGTTGGAATTGCTGGGTCAAAGGGAGCCTCCACGTTAGAACTATCCTTTCCCTTCAGAGTGAGGTAAGCTGAAAATACACTGGCGCCTTTAGACAGGCTTCACCGTAATCTATTATCGATTTAATCAGTAATCTACAGACAGATACAATTTTTATTGTTCACTTTTGGTATTAACCCTTTGAGTGCCAAAGTGAAATATATCGCTTCTCCATACACTTGCAAAAAAGGCCAAGAGCGATATAAACTGTAAGTGCTATAACTCATTAAAAAATCAATTTTGCTTTACGAAAATAAAATTACCTTAAACCTTAAAATAAAATTAACGGAAATATGCATTTTTGTTTACAATCATGCATCTTCTTCCTCTGACACTCAAAGGGTTAATTATATAGAATTGAAATCTTGCAGTCTCAGCTACTTATTTACGTATATACTTTCACAAATGTCTTGAGAATCCTTTGGTACGTGGACAAGAGTACCTAGACCAGTGCTTTGAAAACGTTTGTTTACGAAAATGAAGTGCCGCAAACGAGAGTACACTCGTGGGAAACGCTCTCGGCCATCTTTTTGGTATTTCCGGTCACTCTTCAGGGCACGGAAGCGCCATTCCCGTCGATAATGGATCCATACGAAGGAGAGCACCGATTTCGAGGCTTCGAGAGGGAGGAGCGTCTTGGCGGAAGTTCGTGCTCGCATTGTTCGCGAAATTCGGGAAAATCGGTGGGAGTTTGTGCCACCGCGGGTGGATAGAATTGGGAGCATCCCCGTGGAAGGCAATGGTCTGTTTCGCTAGGAGCGAGAGGAACTATTGAACGAGGATTATGAAGATCGTTGGGTTTCAATGGTCCTCGAAAACGAGTACTCGGATGAATACTGTTGAGAGATCTTAACGCAAAAGTATCGTATCCGTGCAAACTCGGATTCGCGTTTCTCTTAGACAATTCGAGCAAAAGTAGCAAACAATTCAACGAACCGTCATTTTATTTCATAAATCGTCATCCAGGAGAGAGTAAGTAATCAGAACCGCAGACATTGGTCAGTCTCCGTATTCTCAAAGTTTATCGTGTTCTTCTTTCTTGAATGTGATTCGAAAAACCAGGAAATATCGTTGTTTAACGAAGGTATATTTTCTCCACGCAAGGAAATAGCTCCCTTGCACGTTGGCTTTCCTGGGCTTAGCCGTGTAAGACACTGTTTTTCCAATAACCCGAGACAGGGAAAAATTTAAAGAATTTAAGCCAAGGTGGCGAAGTAACCGTTCCGCAGGGGTTACCTTGTCCTATTCACTTTCCTCGGAACTGTTCATCACGTTAACTCGATAGGAAGCTTCGAACCAGTCACCTCGCGTTGAAACAATCGATCCCAGGGAAATATTTCCTGTAAGTGATACACGCTGCTCGATATTTGTCGAAAGTAGTAGAACTCCGGGAAAGTAATCGTGGAAAGGAACGTTAATACTTTATGAGCCTCGAGCGGATAGAAGGGAAGAGAAATTGATACAACACGGTTGAACATCAATTTTCAAAGTCTCTTACGTTATTGTCACTATCAATTGAATCGATGCATTCAGCTTGTAATATCATCCTGGACGATCGTGCATCGCAGCAGACGTTTATATCACGGAGTTTCGGTTACACGTGAATACTTGCGGCGGCAAATCCGTGGGAAAAGCGAATAAACATTTCGGAGCAGCAGTTTGCTGAGTTTGTATAAGTGAAATGCAGCTGGATCTGTTGCCACGTCAAACGCATGGGGCAAATGTGACGAAAGAGAGCCACAAAGTGTATGGTATCTCTCTTATAGTTGCCTTTAGAGCAAGATGAATACAATAAAAGTAGTTGCTAATTAAATTTGGAAACTTCTTTGTTGCATGCATATTTTTAATAGAGCCTCCAGTAACCGAGATATAACCACTCACCCCGTCTCGAATTTAATAGTATGCAGGAGTGGATTTCACCAAACGAGGAGCGCCGAATATCACGAAATGCATGCTATTCTACGATCTGTATATTTAGCTTGTGATTAACTCTAACCACCCAATTCTCATTCCCTCGGCTGAATCGTGTCCCGGGTTCGACTCTCGATACATCGACACGCGCGATAAAGAGCCACCCGGCGTGTCAGCGGCGCAAGACAGAAACGAACGATCATCGACGCGGAATTTATTCGCAAAAGCCGGCGAGTAATCCACGGGATTCGAGGATTGGGGCGAACACGGCGCGACGATGGGAGTTCGCTAGCTAATTTCAGCCATCGGCGAACACGCGTGCAGCGTGTCGACGTTTTCTTTGCGATACACGAAATTTCGATTACGCCACGCGGCGCGATAGGCGCCGGAGGACGAAGGGGGCGCCAGTCTATTATGAATTTCGCGATAACGATACAATTATTCGCGACCCATTTCGCGAAATTTCGGTGGCATTCGAGCAGCCGTGGCGCGGTGCAGCTGCGTTTAATGGAAAGCCAGCCAACGCTCGGAGTTTCCACGGAGCTGAGCGCGATACGAGAGTGTAGAAGGACCAACGGTATAATGTTACTTCAAACGCGCGTTAAAGTTTCTGTCATTGACTCTTTTAGTCCCGGTCTCGCACGAGCACCAACGCCCGATTCCACGGAGTTCGGCTGAAAGTGGCCTTCTCTTGCAGCTGGAATTTCGAGCGGCTGCGCGAGCCGAGAGCTCGTCTCCCGCTGCGAAAATATAAATGCAGCGACGGGAAATCGAGAACGTCGAATCGACGCGGTAGCCTTTTCAGGCTTAATTATTCATTTAGCTTTCCTCGGAGGTTTCTCTATCTCCACTCGAGAGAGACGAGTGCGATGAGGGGGTGTGACGAACGATGGCGCGACGAGAGATTCGCGCGTGTTGCTCGCGATTATGTATGATAAAAAGGGTGGTAAGTGGATTCTCTGATTGATATTCTTTTTAATTCGACGGGAATACTATATTGAATAAAAGGAAAAAGTGATATCGTAGATATAAAGAAGGAAATTCCTCGTGGAAATTTGAATAATCAAATAATCACTCTAAAGCGGGAATCTTCGCGATGATTCTTCAGAATTTTCACAAAAATTGATGGAATGTTAATTAAATAAATATCTGTAAATCATAAAATCGGAACCATCAAAATGCAACCATTGTAACGGGACCCTCACCGTGCAACACTTAATTGAGGAATGCAATGAACTGGAGAAATACAGAAGGAATCTAGATATCTCAAAAAGTTTAGATATAGTACTAAACGATACGAGCGAGTTCTATAAATTCGCGAAAGCATTAGACAGACACAATTTACTGGCCCAAGTACGAGGATGAAATTTACATAAACAATTAGTCGCTTTACCAAATGTGGTCGCTAATAACCAAGCCGTTGATGCGATCTTAAACAAATCATTAAAGAAAAAAAAAATTCCTGTGAATCATCATGCACGTCGTTTCTGAAATACCCAATTTATTTTCAAGCCATACCAATACACCCGTTCAAACTTTTCATAAATTCGAAGCATCCAAGACACTGCGAAAATGCAACATTTTCGAGACATTCCCAAGCGACAGTCTTCTCGAGCCTGGCTCCTCGACTCGAGACATCCTCAGGTTCGAATTCCACCGTCGGCCGGCCCTTTCTAGGAAGCAGTTTTAATATTCCAACGACACCGATACCGCCATTAACATCACGGCGCCATTAAAATTTCAATAACCCGATACCAGGTTCCCCACGGCGAACGTCTGCTGCCCTGGCGCGCGTACCGCAGCACGAAACTGGGAACCGCACGACGATCGTCAGGTAACGTATTGACCTATCGAAACATCAACAGCACGGACCGCCGTAAAGCACCTAACCGCCAGAGCGAACTGCCTCCAGTCCCGTCTCAAATCCCCGGGCAAATTTACTTCCGCTCGCCACCGTGTGCACGGCCGTCCGTCGCAGACAGGGCCACACATCGTTTACCATTTTCTTCCATGGCGCACAAGTCTGAATCTTAGTTGGGACTGGCACAACTTTGGCCCGGGGAGCACCTCGGGTATTGCACGATCGGTGTACTAGTTGAACATCTACGCATGTAATTTATGTGATGTTTCGTTAGAGGAGACACTTTCGTTTCTTATTCTACTGTAAGCATGAACTGAACAAAGAAAGTGGTACAAACTCCTCCAAGGTGCATCAACCCTTTTGCGTAGTAGACGTCTTTTCTATAATGAAGTGTTCTTAACCCTTTCAGATCTGAATTATGTTTCTTTCTCGTACTGATGTGATTTAATTTGTAGGGTGAACTAGGACTAAAATTAGTATGGAAAAAATAAAGAAAGAATTCTAATAGTGTAATTTTCGAGGAAAACTGGTATTTCTTAAATAAGGACATTCGACCTAAACGATAGTGTCGGTAATTTTTAAATTTCGTGTCCTCACGTGTGAACGCCAGGCCTGAAAAGGTCAAGCTATCCCAATTTAAATAACAAAAAGGTATTCCAAGTGTTATACGAAGGAGTATTTGGACGGAAAGGGTATGGTCAATGGAATAGGCAGAAAATCAAACACCTAACTTACCAGTTTCCTCGGTGGTGCAGGACACGGGGCTGCTGGTGACGCCATCCCCAGCCCTAGTGTAGGCGAGCACCTGCACCGTGTAATTGGTGTACGGACTGAGTCCATGGAGAACTGTGCTCAACGCGTGGCTGATGATCTTGGTCTCCCTGCCAGCCTGCTCCTCCAGGACGGCGCTAGCCGCCTCGTAGAGCAACTTGTAACCCTGCACGACCCCGTGAACTTTGTCGGTAGGCGGCGGTTTCCAGGTCACCTGGATGTTCTGCCCAGTCAGCGCGGCGCAGGCCACGTTCTGCGGTGGAGCACTTGGAACTGCGTCAAATCGTATCGTGAATTTCGCCGACCCGAGCCTCCATCGCGGTTTTACGCGTTTGCTCGCGGACCAGGCGAATCCTCTGGTCCGGAGAGCGTCGTTCAAGGACCACGTTGTGAATCCGATGCGAGGGAGTCGAATCGAGTTACAAGGGGTAGATGGCTTCCAAGGGAGACTTTCGGAAGAATTATGGGGTAAATCGGGATTTTTGAAAGAGAATCGGTGGATCCACGTGGTGAATCGTTCATATAGCCTTGATCTAGCTTACCGAGGATCTCTGGAAACGAGGTGTTTTTAGGTGGCAAAGAAAAGTTCTACAGAAAAAGAGAAACCAACGGCAAGTTTGTGGCATATTTTTATGTACTAGAACACTCCTATAGTCGCAGACTTGGCCTACTTCTTTTTTGTAAAACATCCTGCCTCAAGGTTTTTATTGACAATCATCAATCGTAAAGAATTTAAATACGCAGTACATGGCGGTTACAGATTTTTAGGAGAAAGAGGAGCCTGGACGAGGAGAGGTTATATAAGAACTTGAATCGTAAATTCGGTGCTTGTTACTTTCAAGGAGCACCTGCTGCCGCCAAATCTACATACTCAAATTTAGGACCCATCTGTCGCTATACGAAGTTTACTTCGCTTTAGTTGAATTTAATTTACGCGTTATCGAAGCCCAAAACATTGTCAATCTCGGTGGAAGAGGTTACACTTTTGGTTGTCCAGGTTCTTCTGGAAGTGGGAACCCAATTTATGCTGTAGTGGCTGTTTGAAAGGTCTGGATAGAAGGATACAAGTTCGGATCCAGATTCTTTCTCTCCCAAGTATCGTTTACTTAGTCGAGTGTCAAACACGCGGGATGTGGAACAACGGGCACGATCGACTGACACGCGCGCGTTGCCCCAACAAAGGGATCCACTTTCTCCTCGGTTTTCCCGCGCACAAAAGGGCCCTCCTCGGAGGAAAAGCTCGTTCGATGGATCGCTGCCCCGAATTCCCCAACGTCGAACGAAACAGGACGGAAAATGGAACGCGGTCGGGAGGCATTTCCGGTGCCGCGGTCGAGCGAAACACCGGGCAAATGCACTCTTTTCCGAGATCCGGGTAAAAGAGAAGGATTTCTCGCTGAATAATTTTGAAGACCAGGCGTTCAGTGTTCCGCCTTTGCAGGGAAAGGACAGGTGAGTGTCTTGACTCGATTGGGGAGACAGTCCGATACTTTTGGGGGTCTTTATCATTTTTTTCGGGAGTTATAATTGGTTCAGAGAGAAGATTGATAATTACACATGTAATATATGTAACGTAATTTGAAGAAATTTATGCATGGAAACGTAATACGCATGTGGCCATCTTCTAAATAAAGAATTCTAGTTACTCTACGATAAAAAAGAAAAATATATACATTAAAATTTTATATTCCAAATATACAGTTGAAAAACGTATACTTCCATGTAGAAAAAATATGAATAATTTCGAGACCTTTGAGAAAAAGTAGCGCTGAAAAGAAATACTCCTTGCAGCCTATTCGCTCCTTGAAACCATTGAAATTGCACGTGAAACACTTTCAGCATCGCTGCAATGGAGGAACAGGTAATTAGGTATCCCATTCTAGAAGAGAAATTCTGTTACATAATTAAAGAATAGTCTTGAAAATTTAAGAAGTTCTACTTTCCTCTGTCATATATAACTAACGAAAGTATCAAAACAAACTCCTTTGCTCTACTTTCCGAAGTAGAGAACAAATTGACCCAAACAATTTTAAAGGACATTAATGATTTATATTTCAGATACGTCATCTGCTAAGGATCCACGAGCTGATCTCACCGGGTGAATTCAGAGTACTCCTAATCGGTTTCAAGCTCCTTCCGAAATGCTGAGGACTCGTCCCAAGCATCGCACTTAGTATTGTTTCATGTCGTGGGGAATTAGGATTAATAGAGTGGAAGCCAATAAATGGAATCAGGACAATCTTATCTCGAAAGATTAGAGCAAGGTGCTGATCCGATTAATAGAGACATATTTCCAATTAGGTGTTATATTCCGACGCTCTCGTTCGATCTTCCGCGTACAGGTTGGAGTAACAACTTCATTTCCGTGAAACCATTGACGTTTGGTGGGAAGGGCTTCTATATTTAGTCGACGCAAGCAACGAACGAACGTTTCCGCTCCTCCAATTTCGAGTTCTCTTGAAGGTGCTTCTACAAATATTAGTAATGCACCTATAGCATGGCAATTATTTATCAAAGATACTAAGTCAACATAACATCTTCTCAATTTTTTCTGAAAATTGTGACCAATTCTCTGATTAATGTACAGGATTCTACCGAGTTGTCGAAATGTCGTGCTTCGTATCCGTGAATCACTGATTGTTGATCGAAGTCTTTTTACCAAACGCCAAAGAAATACTTGCTTCGCATCGAGCAACGCGAACAGCATTGTAAAAACCTTCCAGCACCGAGGCAGACGTCCTGTATGATGACAGTAGTTTTTGTACACCGAGTAGCGCAGCGGTCTTAACTGTTTTAAATGGGACGCTGTGTAGTTCAACTTCAGCGTGTTAATGCGCGTTGAGGCAAACACGACCAGTTGGAACAACAGGTTATTTAGGGGAAGGAGGGTTGTAAATTCATGACCCTTCTCTCGTGAAATACATCCCCAGCGAGAATTTGTTGCATTCTTTTTTTTCTCGCCGTTGGCTTTCCCGAGTATTACTGGTTTTGTGCAAATTAACTGCTGGGTCGGGTAACTTTATGGACATTCTTACTGGGGTTTCAAGATGCGCAACGCAGTTACCTGTATTTGTTTCGAAACTTCTTGGAAAAAGGACTTTTGGAAGAGAACCGAAGTTGAGTTTCGATGTACTATTCCTGCTTTGGCTTCTTTAACCTTGGTAAATTTTGCGAAGTTGTTACTCTAGTGAATTATTTAGAGTTTACTTATCTGCCTCATTTCGATGCAATATGTGCGAACAAGAATCGCATTACATTAAATAGTCTAATTTTGGAAACGTGTCTTTTTTAGTATTATTAGACTTGATTACAAATTCTTATAGCTTTCTTATAGATTTCTTCTTAAACATGAAGAATTTTTCAAAAGAGACTTCAGAATTTTATTTTTTAATATCTTCAATACATACTGTGATGTAATACGTGTATTGTAATACATATTGAATACGTTAAATTGGTATATTTTAAATAAAGTATACGTGATAGTAATTAAACATAATTGAAAGTGTCCGCTACGTCACGTTGACAGGCATATTTTATTATTAAAAAACAAAACCCTGAAGCCTCTTTAAGAAGACCCTTTACTTTATACTCTTTATGTTAATGGTTTGCTTTCTCGTGCAATTCCAATAAGAAAACTTCAAGGAAACGTGCATTTTTTTAAAATTTGTCCTAGCGTAAATTTATTCTAAATAACCTCTAACAAAATTTGCTAGACGAACAATCCCTTCATAGGGGACATCCGAGTGCAACGGTTTAAGACCCGTTTCCTTTCAAATATCAATCAAATATTATAAGTAAAGTTTCAGGAAAAAACTAGACAATATACTTTATACCATTTTTCGTGATTTAAAGCACAGAAACAAGTCACTGGCTAGTCCAGTGATACGGCGCACCAGTCTAGTCTCTTCCAAAGAGAAAAGCCTTAAAGGTGTCCACCTGTTCCTACTTCCGTCTTTCATCGTAGGATTGCACGATAATTGACGTAGACAACGTCACGTGCAATAGGATGACGCTCAAACAAGAGCAACTAAGATCCTAAATAGAGTATGCTCACCGTCCTCCAGAGTCTGCACCGTCACCGGGTCGGATCCTGGGCCGTCGCCTTTATTATTGAACGCCTTCACCACGACGCTGTACTGGGTGTACTTTCGCAGCCCTGTTAGACTGTAATCGTACGATCCGTCCCCGTTTCCCGTGATTCCCACTCTGGTGATGTTCACCGATTGATCGTTCCCTCTGAAATAAAGCCACGGTTCCGATGTGCCACGGGCCGGAAAGATAAAACGCAGGAAGGAACGCGCGGAACCCGACGATACTTAAAGCCATCCCGTGGAAACTGGAGCGAAAAATGGTGTTCTGATTCGCGGCACTTTTTCCCTCGATACCCTAGCCTTCGATATGAAATTCTCCTTCTCGTTCAACCGAATAGGCACCGGAAGTTCGAAGCATCCGGGAGCCACGTCGCGTTTCCTCACCGTTTCGCGACGAAACCGTCGCGATTCTTCACGAATTAGCGTCGAAGGGGATCGGGGCTAAAAAGAATCCGTGGAATCCAGGACTCCGAAGAATCTGATTATTCCGGCTGGAGACGCGGCGTTGAAAGTTTCGCGACGACTCTGATCCGAGGCAGTCCTCCCTGACGAATATTAATATCCATCGATCGGTTCCCGGCGTCCCTTCACTCCGATCCATTACGTTTGAAGCTTATTACGCTCGGGCCCGTTGGGAATTTTCGTCGGCGGGTTTGACTGGTTATTGGAACTCGCGAAAACAGAGGATTCTTAATATGAAATTAGTTGGCTTCGAGCGGAGGTGGGCAGCGTCTGAGTAAGGAAGCTATGGAAGATATGGAAAATTAAATATCGAGAGTTCTCTTATCCGCTATACAGAGGAATTTAACCCTCTCAGACCTGAATTATGTTTCTTTCTCGTGTTAATGTAATTTAATTGTCAGAGTTAACTTGGACTGAAATTATTATGGAAAAAGTAAAAAATAAATTCTAATACTGGTACTTTTCGAGGAAAACTGATAAGTACATTCGCCATAGACGATAGTGTCGGTATATTTCAAAATTTGCGTCCTCAATTGTGAACTCCAGGTCTGAAAGGGTCAATCTGGTCACTTGAGTAACCCCTTTCGTATTCCACGAATGATTTATCTCCGAGTTCTAAGAGTTTCAAAGTCTTCCAATACCTTTTCCCGACGAATTGAATTCCTAACATTCAAATAAAGAATGTATCCACGTAGAAACAAGCTCAGCTTCACAGAGATAGCCATTTACGAATACAAGTATCTCGCCACGGACCAAGTCAGCGACCGTTCGCAAAACACCGGTTCCGAGAATTCGATAACAAAGCGCGACAATTATCCGGCGCCCCCCGCCGACGGAAACACGCGTCGATCGGCGCTCCATTGTCGCGAAATCGTCGCGGTAATCGGCGAAGATTCGAGACCCATCGACGAAGAGGGGCGTCCCCCGCGGCCACCGCGGTCCCGAAGCATGCTAGAAACTATTCTAAACAGCCGTAAGCGTGTAACGATACCCTAGATTGGCGTAGCTGATGGTGTATCCGAGAAGTTCTCCGTTCCACAGGGATCGATCCGGTGGTTGCCAGGTGACCTTCACCTGCTGCGGTCCCAGGGGCTCGGCGACAACGTGCCTAGGAGGGCCTCCAGGGATCTCACCGTCGGTTTGGGCCTGTTGTAGTCCCGGTGAACGTCGTCGTCGAGGTGGATGTCGTCGCGGGGGCCAACGGGGAAGAAGAGTAGCTCGTTAGTCAGGGACGTGGTTGCCCAGAACACGGGCTCAACGAATGGAATTAACGCGATAGAATGACATGTTCTCTTTAGAGGCATGCTGATATGTTTGATACTGACATGAAGGATGTCGCTTGGCGCTGATGTTCCAAGGTGATTTTCCGCAAGCACCCGAAAGTGGTAGGACGTCGCCGGTTTCAGGGGCGACACCAGCGCGACCGTGTTGTCCCCTGTCACCATCTTCTGCGTGTTGTGCTCATGCCACACGTCTTTCCAGCAAAAGGCAACGACAACGCTTAGAGGGGGTTTGTGCAGCGTCGATCGATTGGGTCGAGCGGATTTACGGAGCGCGTGACGCGTGGGCGACTACGAGGGATCCACGAAGAGGAAGAATCGACGTAATACGTATGCGGAAAACTTTTGTTTAACGGGTCCCATTACTAGGTGCACCAAACGTTTCGCATTTTAAGTATTCAAGCTGGTAGAGGTAGTAATGGCTGAGAGAATTCCCCTCGAGTGGAAGTTTTACGAAAGTAGATTCTTCCACTTGCTGGATCTTAATTCAAGGCAGACGCTGATTGCAAATTCGATACGGTCGTTACTATTAGCTACGGGGCACTCTTATTGCGTCCCTTTGTATCGTTAACCCTTTGCACTCTGCCTCATCTCGTTGCAAAATGTGCAAACAGGAGTCGCATCACATGAAATAGTCTAACTTTGGAAACGTGTCTTTTTAGGCATTATTAGACTCGATTATAAATTCTTAGAGCTTTCTTGAAGCGTTGACACCGCTGCAAACGTAAAGTATTTATGTATTATTTATGAATCCTTTATGTTTGTAGCGGTGTCAATAACAAAGTTTGTTAGACTTACGATGTCCCCTCATAAGAGACATCCGAGTGCAAAGGGTTAAAACAGAACTGCTACTCTTCTTACAGTCTAGTAAGAGTTGTATAGGTGTTACTGTTCTTTTAATTGAACTTCAAGAAAGGAGCACCTACTGTTATCGACCAATTATTCGTTTGTTTGAAGAAACGTCAGGGTGTTTTAGATTTAGGGGTTGTTTGTGTCGAAAGAACAAACCTTAGTCTTTGTGCTGGGGATCATTTAAAGGTCAAGACGTCGAGGGTCGTATCTTTAAGATACTTGAGATTCATTGACATTTTTCATCAACAACAATACAGAGAGTGTATACAGGGCGAGACATTTGAAACAGGTTACTTGAATAATTCGTTTACTTTTAGCAATAAATGAAAAAGTGTCGAACAAGACACTTGCCAATAACAATTTATTTTCCATTAGCTTATGTAACCTTGAATGACCTTCGACTATAGGTTATTGTATTTGTCTTGAAACACTCTATCGGAATATGTACAAGAAATTATATGATTCTACTTACAAAAAACAGAGTCGACTCTCATGTCGCTTCTACGCTTTCCCCGATAAAAAAGTTATTGACACCACGTTATGTGCCTCTCGAAAACAAAAAACTGTTGTTCAACACTTTTCCTTTTATTGCTAACAGTAAGCGAATTATTCAGGTGGCCTGTTTTAACTGCCTCACTCCGTGTTTATAAAACCAGCACTAAAATTTTGCACACAGTATTCATAGTAGCAGCAATAACTACCCTCTATAAGATCAACAATCTACCGCGTTAATGAACTATTCCTGTATTTATTAGGTAGACTAGAAAGTAATGTCGTTTCTTTTACATTAAATTCAAACAAATTTTTAATAAATTCCTATTTTTAATCAATTATGTAATCGCCTTTGTTATCAACAGCCTTTCGCCATTTAGTGTGCAAATTTTCAACGCCATATCGATAAAAATCAATGAGCTGATGAGTGATAAACAAATATTTAAAATTGCACAAACGACATTACTTTCCAGTACACCTAATACATACAAAAACTAGAAAGAGGATTTATCTTGACATAAAGTTCACGCAATGCAAACTTGAAGCAAATCACAGAAATAAATCATCCCTCGCTACCAACGTCCTGTAATTTCGACGCAAACAACATCACTCTCGGTAGCTTCATTGTTTCGCGAAAAGCAACCGTGGGCACGTGGACAATAACGTTAGGCGGCCCCGAAATTAGGTTATCCCGACGGTCGGGAATTAGTCCGCCGTTATCGTGTCCCGGCAGAGTAGCAGTAATCCGACACGAAGCGGCCGAAAAATCGAACCGAGCGGTCTGCGGTCGACGAAAAACCGAATCCCACGAAATTCCAGTACCCGATGGAGATGCGATCGCTCGTCGAAAAGGCAAAGTTCAACGGGGGGAAGGGCAACTTCGACGAAAGCTTCGGGCATCGAAGCGGCACGATGACGACGCGTTTCTACCTCGAAAGCGCTCCAAGTTTAATCAAGCGTGCTCTGGCTCTGATTGAGTGAAAACTCGGTGCTCGTGCGGTTTCTATTACCAGACCTCTAATACCAGTTAATACCGACCAAGTACTCGCGTCGAGCGATCCCCCGTCGAACTGAAAAGCTATAAAATGATTCGCCAATTCGTGGACCGCAGGATCCTGCCGTCTTAGTCGTAGACGACATCGGGATCCCGTGCTCGACTCGCAAGAAAGTCACTTCCGAGTTTGATCTAACTTCGAAGTTTCATCGGATGATTACGAACAAGAGAGATTTTATCATGCTTGAGGGATGAAACTACTTATAACATGGTACCTTTTTTTTTTTTTTTATTCTATCGTATCTCGAAAACGTAGGCATATTTACCATAACAAGTTTCCCCATCTATCTTAAAAATTGCGAAAATACAGGTGATAGAAATGAATTTTTAACATCCCCTCGCGAACATAATTTTCTGCTTAAACTCGTGCACCAAACTTTCCAGTATTTTCAACGTCTTTCACGAAGCAAAAGTTCGAGGGGTAATTTCTCGGCGTAAACTTAAATTACCAGAACAAAACACGTATCGCTTATTTCTAGTTGCTTTATAAGTCTGGAGTTTAAATAAAAAATCCAGAAGGAACGTATTTCGAACGTTCGTTGCGAGTCGAGCAGAGATCTCGAGGATTCTCGAGACGATAGTGATAACAAATTCTCGACTCGGTGCTTGCTCTGAAAACGTGTTTCACGCACGTTAACACCGCTCGACGAACCAGCTGCCTCTCCATGTGTTAAGATCGATAATTTAGCGCCGGCCGGGCGATTCGAGTCGATTAGGCGTAAATGAGGACATCCGAAGTTAACGAGGGACCGGAACCTGTGGGCGGGGTGGGGGGCGGCTTGGCGCTCTCAAAGGGAACTTTCCGTGGCGCGAAAATAAAGCGAAGACGAAAAAGAAGCCCAAGCATCGACTTCGTGGCGAACTTCGTCTTCCTAGCGCGTCCTTCGGCGCTTTCATGAAAAGTGACCCGACGGGGTGACACCTAACCGAGTAACACGAGCGAATGGCTAACGACTCTACTTGCGAAACGAATCAAGACATTCTGAGACAGGCCTCGCATTCCATAATCAACAAAATAAATATGTAGGATCCTATGACTTGAATTTCGATGGAACCCACGATCCAAACAGTGTCGAATCCGACTTTTATCGAAAACGAAGCATCGTACGCAATAATTTTATTCAACTTTTCCACGCAGAATCACTTGTTTCAACTGATCATGCCTGAGCACTGTGTATAGAAGAGGATAATTAAGTATTGTCGAACACAACGTGAACTATTCCTCTCTGAATCTTCTACGTGTTATGATCGGAAAACATGTTTTGATTCGTTGGCCGACTTTCCGTTGAAAATTGAAAAACTTTCGTTGGTTGGTATGCAGATACGAAGACCGCGAGCCGAAGGAGGCTGGCTCTCGAAGGACTGGAGAAATTAATTTTTCCATTAAAATGTAAAAACCGTGGATCGCGAATTGGCTCCGCTGTGCCACGGTGATTGTTTGTCGTTCTTTTTCCTTATCGATCACGTGGATCGAGATACGGGAAAAGTTCGGTGTACGCTTGATCAGGCTTTATGGCCATCTTCGGTGATAGGAAGTTACTCAATTTCACAATATAACGAAGAAAAAAATATGCGTCCTCAGAAATGCTACGAAGACGTATCACAAGAAAAAAACATTTTTCTTTGACATTAAATAAATATAATATTGAAAAAAAAGACACTACAAAAATGTTTGCAATAAACGGAGAATAGGTACAGTCTTAGAATGGAAATTTTTTAAAGTAATTATAAATCATAAAAATGAAGAATGACGTAAATACTATCCTACGTTATCTTAAGATCAGTGGGTGTTTGGTATAGAGCTCTCTGCTCTTCGAGAAACACGCAGTACCGGAAAACACCCCGGTACGTTTCAAACGAATGATTCCCTGGCCACGATTGCCAGCAGATTGATTGTATATTGATTGTATATTGTTTGCCATATTGCGCTACAATTTCATTCTCCGCGATTGCCTCCCCAGCCGCGGCGAGTATTGATTAAACTTGAGATCGAGCCTGACAGTCCAATAATGGAGTCTTAATGCCCCGTCGAGATGCTGCAAATCAAACTACTTTCGACAGGCTGGCCGTAATTAAACGACAATTATTAGCGGCTCCGAAAGTAATCCAAGTATGCGTGGAACTTCTAACGATCGAAGAAGGCTGAAATAGAATCGCGGCGAGATGTGATAACGCTAAATTTATCAATAGGATATTTGATGATAGAGGATTGTTTTGAAAGGTGGTTCGATTTCGAGCGGTTGTGTCGACAGGATCTCGTTCTAGAGGATTAACTGTTTGGAAAATGTGGTTTACAACAACTCCCTGCAACTCTACACTTCATGAATATTTGAGAGGAGTAATGGAGCTTCATACCTATTTACGCGGGAGTTCGATATTCCCTCGAGTACCAGAATGATACGTTTTTTGCAACACCTTTTTCAGTGTCTTTGAAAATTCTGTTGGCGACGTCGTTCCTTAAGCTACTCAAAGGTTAATTGAAAATATAGTACCCGCAGAAACTTGCAAGCGAAATGGAGGCACCGAGTTAAGAAGGTTAAATTATGAAGGAGTCCAGAAATGGCCAAAAATGGCTTGAAACTATACCAGATTATTTTATAAGTCTGCGTATTTCTGTTTATGTAAATTTCTGTTAAAAATAATATGTAAAAACACACACAAAATATTAACAAGTTACTCGAATTCGTTTTGACACCAGCCTGGGAGACTGCACATAATGACTCGGTCACGTGTACATAAGTAACCACGCAAAGATTCATAAAATTCAATAACAATTATTGAGATACGTGCTCACTTTAACTGACGGAACAATCAGGTTACAAATCGAAGTCTCCGAGGAAGATTCCTCCTCTGTCTCTACTTGTCTCTGAGTTCCATTTAATTCGTTGTATGATACAGCAACGAAATTTTAAAAATTCCATCTGAAGGACCGAATAAAAATCGACGAATTTCGCTGCTCCAGGAAGACGCTCGTACAGCGCGAAAGTCGAGGGCTTTGGTTCGGTGAAATATGTAAGGGCCACGACAAGTCCGAACCGAGTTCTCTCCTTCCAAGTTTTCCGACATGGTCGGATTCTCCGCGATATTGCCCTAAATATCCAAAAATCTATAAGGACTTTTACCCTGCTACGTGTCGAGGAAGGGATCGATTCGGACTGGGAGCATGGCTGCGTACGACGAGCTCAGCGTTTCTCAAATATCCTGGACGCCTGAGAATCCGCTACAAGCTCCGACATGCTTCCAAATCGATTAAGGAGCCACATCTACGATCGTCGAAATATCGATTTTTTGAAATATTCCCATTCGATTTCACTGTTTTCTCGGAAGATTTCATCTCGAGAGTTCGAGAACTAAGCAAGCGACAGCTGCAAGCAGCTTAATACTTCGCAAGTGTAAATTAAAATGAAAAATCGATTTCCACGTGGTTTGATGAGTTTTTTATTCAGATAAAAACAATGAAGATATTCCGGTAACCACAGTAAATCGCCTTAGAGAAATGGCTGAAATTTGTAAACCTATAAAAACTCGATACCTACAGAATAAACTTCCGATAAAAATACAATGTACAATTTCAATCCAGAAAAGCTTCGGAACTCTTTCGCTTGTTTTATGTGTGCAAGGAATATTTTCAAGCCCGGTACTCTATTTTTCCCAGTGCCCGCGTTATCGTTGATCGAAGATTCATTGGAAGAGGGCGCATAAGAAATTAACGCTCGACAAGTAGGTCGGTCAGAGGCTAACTTTTCCAGAGATTACGTGTGTATCGGTGCAAGGCCTCTCGGAGGTCTCATCTCTCGGAGATGATCAGGACCGAGTCAAAGGACTCGCGAACGTCTAGAAAATCAAGGTACTCCGATGAGATATCTCCGCGACGCGATGGATAACACCTTTAGCGATGGAATAGGTCACAATTTGAATTCCAAAGCAGCTCCCGGAGAGTCTTTTTCCTACTGCGGATGTCAAAGCAATAAATCACCTATCTACGGTTAGCCGTTGGCGCTCCGTGAAGTGGACTGCCTTGTATGTCTTTGTAATTCCTTCCTACGATCGATCTTAACCTCGCCCCTGATCGCTGTTCCAACTCCTCGCGAACGAAGGAAACGCCCTGGACATGCCTGCGTCAGGTTTGAGAGACGCTGGCCACACAAGGCGATCTCCGTCGCTGGCCTTGGCAAGGTTAGGCTACCTGACTGTAATCCGGGGACGCTGGCGTATCTGTTTCCTTTGGAGTATCAGCTTGCATCTCGACGTGAGGCACGTAGACGCCAGAAGCTACACGAAACGAGCGAACAGCGAGCGGATGGAGCTCGAAAGAAGAGTGCATCCCTGCTCCTTGCAACCTACTGTCGCACCGCAGTGACGAAACGAACTTGTCCTAGGACACGACAACCCGTGTAATTGCGAAGTCACGGACTTCTGTGGACGAGCGTGTATCCTGGAATTTCGCTAGAACGATTTCAACGGTTAATTATGGCGAGGAGATAAGGTACGAATCGCTGGAGCAATTCGGCTATCCTTGGGCTATTAGTGAATTCTTACCCTCCGTTGTTACAACTGGTGTAAACAGTTTCGACTAACTTCGCGGCTGAGTGGAAGCATCACTGTAACGGGCCATCGAGGTGTTAAGACGTTGAACTATCGGGGTATTATGAATGGATGGTAATTGGATATCGGATCTCGAGCTATCGTGTTGGCTGGAGTTTTGGAATGTTTGACGCTGATGAGGTGCGGAGTTGTTGGTGGTTCTTGGCTATACTGGAATATTTCTGTGTCGGGACGTTGAATTGTTTGGATGTGTACTCCTCGGCAAACCAATGATTCAACCATTACTGATTATATTTAAGTTTTTAAAATCTCATGGTTTATACTGTACTTATTTAGTAATTGAGGGCTATGCTGCAATTAAGGAGGTAGCTCAATTTTTGTATGGTATTGAGGTTAGAACGTAATCACGGATTTAAAACATTCCTTTTTTCGTGGTGCAATAAGGAGGAAAATTTGAAAAAAATGGAGCTGCCTCCTTATTGACGCACACCCCTCAATTGTATCTAAGTTTAAGTTCTGCGTAATACTGTAATGTGTACTGTTTGATTTAATTCTAATTGAATTGCACCGTAGAGCGTTTAATAGCCTATCAAATAAAAAAGAAACTATTTGGATAATGGAATCTTGGAGCGTTAAGATACTGAAATATCATGATATACATATGTATGTATATTGATCAAGTCGTATTGATCGAAACTCCAACATTTCTACAACCCTCAATTCCCTCACTAATAGATTATTTACTCCAGATTAAAAACTATTCCTCCAAAAAGAAAACAGTGTAAAGTACATCATGCAGGACATCCTGATGCAGTCCATCTTTTCGCGAATAAGTACATTTTTCCTTGCGATAACGAAAGCTTCCGGCATACCATAATTCAATAAAAGCTATTCGACTCGGAACTCGCCGTGAGAGCGCCATTTACAAAAACAATAACCCGTTTTCTCTTATAATATTTGCCCTTCCCAGTAAGATAATATCCCGGTAATTCTCAGGCGCTGGAAGGAGCGTCTATGGAGAGGCGCTGGTGGTAGGAACGTCAACGACGCGCACTATGAATATGCGTATCTAATGAAAATGAATCTAACGTTTTCTACGCGATGCGTGTCGCCGCGGAGGAGAGAACCGTTTCCCCCACAGCGATTTCGTAACGAGATTCACAGCCAGCGATCCGTGAAACGCTATCGAGCGCGCAGTGCCACAATACGCATATTTGGCCACGATCAATCGTAGTCACTGTGTCGTACACGCTCACGAGACACGCCTCTGTGTCTCGAGACAGGGTCCAGCATCGCGGGAGGGTTCCTGGGAGTCTGGCGAGCAATTTTCCTCGTTTGCATAGCCATGGAGCGAACCCACTCGAGCGAACAACGAATCGCCGCGAACCCTTCATAACCGTGCGTAATTCTCGCGTGCTCGTTACGTGTGGGGTTTGATTCGATTTTATTGTTGGCATCGATTCCATTGGTTGGGAGATAACATGTTTACAGAGTCTATTTTGTAATTTGTCGCGTTAAAGTGGCTGTAGGTGGAAGTCCGTGTTTATTGCGATCTGTATTTCGATTCATTACTGAGACCATAGGGGGTTAAGGTGAAGAACCGCACTGATTTGACGGGGGTGTATGTTTGTATAAATATGTCGATATATACATATATGTGTGAGCTTATTCATATACAAATTTATAATGAAAAATTCATTTGGTAATATCAAAACTATTATTTAATTTAGTAAAACTTTCTCCAATAGACATAGAGGGTACGAATATTTATATCATTTTTTAATATCAAATCTATTATTTAATTTAGTCAAACTTTCTTCAATAGACATAGGGGATACGAATATTTATAGAATTGACTGTATGTTGTAAAACCTTGAGAAAGAAATTCTACATATTTATAATGAAAAATTCATTTGATAATATCAAAATTATTATTCAGTTTAATCAAACTTCTTTGATAGACATAAAGGGTACGAATATTTATGGGACTGGCCGTATGTTGTAAAGGCTTGAGAATAAAATCTATCAATCTCCTTATATCCCATCAAGTCTTCAGTTCCTATCACCCTACCATTTCCCCATCCAGAAACCCCACATCTGTTTGAAAAACTGCCTGGTGACCCCAATAATTTAAACCCTGAAATTTTCCTGGTAGTTTCCGTCCATTAAACTCGAGTTATCGCGACCAGAAGAATAACCACCCTCCCTCCCATTTTCGGTAGCCCTGCGAAGCGTCGTGAAAATCGACGACACTTCGCACATGTTCCTGGCGAGAAGCTTTCCAAGCGACGCTGGACGTCCTGTGTGACGCGTGATAGACAGCGTTCCCGGATCGATAATCGCGGTTCAATAGATCGGTCGTGTACGGAGCAGAGGACAAAGCGAGTCTGGGGAACATACCTTGGGCCTCCTTGTACTGGACGATGTAGTTGGTGATGGGCGAGCTTGCGTGGGCTGGATCTTGCTCGCTGGATGGGGACGACCAGGCCAACACCAGCGATCGGCTGCCCTGCTCCGTCACGTGTACATTCCGTGGGAAATTCGGTGGCTCCTGGACCAGCAAGTGGATCGTCGCCCTGGCGTGTCCGTAGGCGTTCGTCGCGACGCACACGTAATCGCCGCGGTCTATGTGACTCGCCTGGATGATGCGCAGTTCAGAGATCACGCGTCCCGACATCTTCCTGTTGTCTATCGTGTACCTGGTCAAAGAAGGCTCGATCGAACGCGTGGACGAACGAGGAGACACGATGGAAACGCGATGGAGGCTGACGCTGGATTTCGTTACGTTTTTCGATCCCTCCAATATCCTCTCGCATTGCGGTGCACGAACCACGGAGCAGATCCGAGGGATTCGACAGATCGTTGACGAGACCACGCCGAGGGAATTATTGATGAACGCCTCCCGCGCAATTTTGCGTGTACGAAAGTTAGCGGGAACCCAGCGAGGGGATGCACGGTATAATTTTGTGATGAAGGAGCGCGAGTGTTGTTGCGAAAATGTTTCAAGGAAGCTCGTCAACCGTCGCCCGGAGTCAGGTACCTTGTGCTATCGACCAGGGAGTGTACCGACGCGAGAGGCGCCCTTAGGAAAGATCACTCCAATTACCTTCGCGTTTTCGACGACGGAATTGTTATCAGCTTCAAACACGGGGCTTCTTTTGCACTCAGGCGCAAAGCATTAAATGTGTCGTTTAACATTCCCTTCAAATTCTAACTGTTGTAAGGTACAATTTGTATTCAGCGCCTTATTGTTTATATTAAAACCATACGGCGTGTATTGCAAGAGGACGATTCGAACGCACAACAGTTAGCTGTGTGTTGACGAGTAAGTGAGAATACTAACAAGGAAAGCTTTATAGGTGCCGCATCCGATTGTTTTGATTTTTGAATATGTTTTAAAGGACCGAGAAATAAGATGTACGTATTTTTTTTATATTGGCCCGTTTGCATATTTAGGGGGTGAAACGACCACCTAGAGTTTCAGCTGCAATAGGCTATTATTATAAACAAATTATTTTTTACAAAATATAGAGCCTAGATTTTATATGAAAATAGAAAACCATGACACTTTTTCTTAAAAAGTTTTCTTTTATCTATGATAGTTTCGGAGGTAGCCTATTGCAACTGAAACTTTAGGGTGTGGTTTCATCCCCTAAATATGAAAACGGGCCAATATAAAAAATACGTATATCTTATTTTTCGGTCCTTTAAAACATATCCAAAAATCAAAACGATCGAAGGCGGACATCTAAAAAGCTTTCCTTGTAAGTGTGGCTGTACATTACGCCATGCTTGAACTCATAATTGAATAAATATCTGAATCAATTAGTCCCTAACTTGTGTCTCTTTTTTTTTGGTCTGAACATTAATACCTTTCATCACGTTTAGCGAATACACGTGTCAAACTACTGTTTAACACGTTGGTCGTCACGTCACCCATCCAAGGGTGACAGAACTTTTTATTAAAGAATTAAACAAATTAATTCTGAAGTCACGCTATCGATAAAAATTAATCCGAATATTATTTGTGAATTTGGTGAATTTCGAAAAACAAGTACCATGACAAATGCTAGGTTACGCACTTTCCAATTGTCTCGAAACATAATTTTAACTACGTAGAAATTTTCACGATTATTAGCTTAGCGATCAACGCGTTAACAACACTATCTATACTGAAAAATAGGTATACTACATCACGGTTGCGTAGACTACTCTTTAGAATCATCAATTGTGCCTCGCATTATCTTCAACAAATTTGTTCATCCCCTCCACTCGATTATCAAGAAATTCTCATCTCGTATTATTCCTTCAATTATTTCGATAGAAAATATTATCTCTCAGTCCCGAGAGCTCGTTACGTCATTCGACTGATCCGTCTCGAGCGACTTCCGCTGTAATTAACATGTACCCTCCGGTCACCCCGATAGGAGATCGAAGCGTCAGTCTTATCGACCGTGCGTACAGCGCGGAACCACGCGAGGCGTCGCAGTATGGAAGGGAAGGGGTTTGATTAATTTCGATACAAACCTAACATCGTAGTTGGGATCGACTCTGCTGTCACGGGCACGCCAGCTCAGATCAAGAGGATCGTCTCCTTCGGCCTCGCAGCGCAGCGTCACGCTCTCGCCTCGTCGCACCGACTCTTGCCTTGTTTTCACCGACACCTGAGGGCCGGCTGTACCAGCAATCGCAAATTAATTTCCGTTCGTTCGTTTCTGATCGAACGAATGCCCGCTCGGGGTGTAGCAAAGTGTATCGTCGCCGAAGAACTTATCGATTCCGCCGCCAAGGACGCGCAAGTTTGACGATTCGTTCAAGCGAAGTTCGAACCTTCCAGTGGTTTAATCGATAATTTCCAGAACTTTTTTTTCCAATTTCCAGAAACTCGATAAATTTACTTCGCGGACTGGACATTAATAACGTTCCGTTCTCGGTTATATGGACTATCGATGACTGCTGGTGGCAAAAATTGAGAGCTGAGGTAATAGATTGCCAATTGATGGCGGACATCTGTTTCTAGTTCATACTAAATCGTAAAGAGTGTCGAGTCAAAGCCAACGTCGATAGGTATGAAAGTTTAAGTGAAGCTAATGGGATTCGTGAAAAATTTGTAACTGACAAAGTGTTAAATGGAGTTAAAATCGTTATCAGCGATATTGAAGTGCGAAACTGGGCCGTAACTCTGCTATGCAAGTGGCGATGATATAATTTAATCGTGTCCAACTAACGTATATAGACTATTCACGCAATACTATTTGAGTTTAAGTTGAGCTAACAACGTCAGAGTATATCGGATGCTCTGATTGCTGTCTGTCTAACTCGTTAGAGAAGCTCCTGTCGATTCGAAATTTGGAAAAGGTCCCGTGATTCCATTCGGGGAGGGCAATAGCGAGTTATTCTTACTTTTTTATATCTCAAACTGAACATCGCGCGAATGAACTGTAAATAGAAGAAAGTCTCTACAATGTAGTATTATTCTTTTAAACTCGACTATTCGAGTTTCTCTTAGAATGTTCAGGAAAAATTGTCAAGCAAAGGGTTAATGGAGATACGTGTTTTCGAGGCACACATCCCCGTAACGACACTTCCCGCGGGCATTTCCCACGATCGTCGAGACTCATGAACAGAATTTCGGTCGCGAAGAATTCCAGGCCACCCGATCGTGGCTGGAATCCCAAGTTCGCGAGCCCCGACTGCTGACACAGATCCCGGCAGCTGTAACTCCGTGTTGCGTGAATATTTTACCATGAACTGTTAGCCGAATGAGCTTGCTTAGCCCTGGTCCGATCCCGTTGCTCGCCTGGCACAGGTAGAACCCGCCGTGATCTCTGGATATCCGTGGGATCGCCAAGGACCCGTTCTCTGCAACCCCGGCTCCCTCGGTCCCGCTGTATCCCAGCTCTCTGTAGTCGCCTGGTGTTTCGCCTAGATGTTCCAAGGGACCGGCCATTACTCGTCGAATGCGAACCCGTTACGCTAATTCGCGCGTCTGGTTCATAATTATTAACGCGATTCTCGTCGACGGCACTGGGACACCGGCTGTTTTGGAATATTAAGGCGACCAGGGAGAGGAAATCTGTGGATGGCTTGGAAAATGAATGAATGGGCTTAAATTGTGGAGTCTGGACTGATCGAAGCCATCGATTGGGATACAGAATGCTTCAAGTTTCGAAAAACGGAACGTGGGCATTTTGGAATGCTACCGAGTGAGGAATTTGCAAAACGGGCAGTTTGTGTATAAACGATTCAAATAACGGAAAGGTCCATGAATTTGGAATCAATAAATCAAAACAGAATGTGAAATGTGGATTCAAGCTTGTAGAGATAAACATGAAGCCGTTCCCACGGTATTTCGGTATTAAATTACGATTGTTATCGGTTTTCAATAGGAAGACATTTATAACGGGACTCATTATCATAGATCGAACGAAACGAGTTCGAGCGCATGTTTTCATAAACTTTTGCTCCACTGTGAAACGCACTGTACTGTACGATGTTTAAATAGAGAAATTCGGTGACCCAGAAATGTCGACATTGGAAACGGGGAAGAGGAATGGGAAAGTATTCGCAAATATTTAACTCTTAAAACGTATCGCGAAACAAATCCAGAAAGCCTCTCTTCCTCCGTTGTGTACACCCAAGGGACAGGCCCCTCTCACAGACCAATTTTTCGATGTCATCCATCACGCACAAGCACAGTCGACCTCAACATTTTATACAAACTACGGAATCCCTTTCAAAGCACGATTGCAAACACTTCGGGTAAAAAAAGACTCGAAATGTATTTTTCCACGCAATGCTTCGTTAAAAGGCACCAATAGTTTTCAACCGCAGGTGGGCAACACTGCATTCGAATAATAGATAGCGAATAAAACTGACAATTAATCGATACAATATTCAAACTTTTATTCATTCGCTGAAATTCATTTTAAATTCATTCGTAAAGAATAAACGCGATTTTTATCCGCAAAAGAATTTTGCCCATCTCTGATTCATTGCAATAATTTTGTTTTTCCAAACCGATGTCTTTTGCATTTCTGAAAGTTTTTCGTATTTTTGAGAGAAACGTTGGTTGCAGTGGAAACGTTGCGTGTTTCATCCCGCAGAAGAAGGAATCCCGTGCCGCGGGATGTACGCTTATGACGTTACAGAATGTTCCCCGGTATTAGAGTATCGGTCGGAATCCACGATGTCGCGTTTTCTTCCTTCGACAAGGGAACGCTGCCAGGCCGTCAGATCAACGTCACTCGACGTTCTTTCCGATACAATAAACAGCGGTAAAACGGGTAAATGTCCAAAGGAAGCTCGGTGTTGCGTGAAAAGATACAGTATTCCCGGAAAGTGCAGTCGTACTTTGTCAGACCACATCGCGATGATCACGAAGAACAACGTCTTTGAATCTATGTATTTAAACCTCTCGAACAAGACACACATGAAAACACTTCTCATTGATTAAAGAATCCAGAATTCTTTAGACTCTATTAGGAATATAAATATATTTTATTTCAATCAATTTATAAATCAAATACGTATGTGCTGTTCCTCTCTATTCCTCGATTAGTTTCTCAAAAACACAAACATTTTATTCTCACGCAGTGTAGACTGACTGTAGAAATACGAGAAGAGTAATTGTACTTTTCGATGGAGGAAACAAGAGGATAAATTTTACACTAACTGCAGCACGTCTCTGAGCCTCACTCGTTATAATAGAGACAGAGTTCTGCGTCCCTAGAATATACGCTGTACTATTAAACGATGTTGAAAAATATTCGAACGAAACGAGGCGCGATCGAGAAGGGAGGGCGAAGAATTCCATCCACGAAGCGACGCAATATAATGTTCACGTTCAACGAACCGATGAAACTAATTATACCGCCGCTTTATCGAGCGAAGGGCTTATTTCAGGCTGAATGAGACTCGCGGAAAACGTTCGTTCAGCGAAATTCCTGATGAATCCCTTCGTCGAGCCACCCTCTGCTTAAATACTGGCCGACAGGTGTAACTTAATGAAAACGACGCTGGGATCGACGCAGAAGTCATCGAAAGTTATTAGAGTTGTTAAGGAAGAGAGGATTGAGACAAAAACAAAGAAGGTGGATCGATAGCGAACGATTTCATTGCCTTTTTCGATAGCCACCGTCTGGTAATGAATAAATGTTTCGAATAGATGTTTCAAATTGCAATGTCGCGAGGATCATTCGAGCACTGCATAAAAACGTATGAACCATGTCGCATTTAGGCTTGCATCTATCATATTTTACGTCCACGCGTGATGTGTCATGATAAGACAAGGATTCTGGTAATTTGTAATTCAATTTCTACGATTTGTCCCAATAATAGGTGAACATTGCCCAAAATACGTGGCAGGATGTATCGAGAATGGTTATTCGATTAATTCGATCAGGCGTCTATTTTAATTTCTACTAAAGGGATTATCCGCAAATGAATTATACCAGTCAAAGTAGCTGAAATCCAAGTTGAGGTATTAAATGGATTAATTAACTGAACGAGATAAATACAATTCCCGAATACCTTTAATCAAAGATTGATTAAATTTAATTATTTTAAATTCTAAAAAATGTCATATCTTCGATATCACTCATGGCTAGTCGAATTAATCGTAAATTAAATCGAATTCAAATTGGATTTCATATTCCGTCGATAAAATATATCGTACGTGTACGTGAACATTTCTAGGTATTGATAAACCAGAATACACGCGATTCGAACATTCAGGATGTTACAACTTAATTCATTCCAGAATTGAGTAATCCAAAGAAGAGACTCGAGCGAATATTCTAGATCGACAAATATGAATATCTCCAAGTGCACGGTGCGTAAAGGTTTCCCTTTTCTAACCACATCCTATCAAAGATAGCCATTTTCGAGGTCCTCCCCGCGACCTCGGAAGGATCCACGATCGCATTGGCAGAGGGAACGAAGACGCGTTGATCCTGCCGACTAAACGAGCCTGGAAAAGGAGTTCTGGCTGAATGATCAGAATTTCCTGGAATGAAAACCATTACGGAAGAAGAGCAAAACGAATAAGAGCTGCTAATAAGGATCAGCCAGCGGCAATTGCCAGCGCGAAATCGACGCGGGCACGTCTCGCAAAGAGAGTGAGCCGTCAAAGCGGAAGCATCGAATACCGCTTATTAAGCGGCGCTGAGCTACGAGAGGAAGATAAAATCTCATTTTAAAAGAATCGGACGTCTCTTTTGTCATCTCAAATGGACACGGGAAATTCTTCGTACGCGGAGACGATGGCTAGAATAGCGGAGCAATAGGGCTCCGTAGGGCAGATCTAATAAACGCGGGTCTGAGGGAACGCAAAGTGATAATACGCGGAGGATACGAGAGACGGTGGGTTTTGAAGGATACGGAGCCAGACGTAGAGCTCGAGTCTACTTGGCCCTCGTGAAATTTATAGCCAGATCAAAGGATTAGCAGTGCCTTAAACAGAGCCTTTGACGTGGGACGCATTCAGCAGTTCTGATGGCGGGATAAGATGGAGCGAAAATCAGATGGTCGTTAGGAGCCACTCCCCTAAGTGTGATCCCAGATACAGTGCGAAACTCGGATGTTTAGTGCTGGAGACGAATTTGAATTCTATTAGTCCGGAACACCTAACGACGTCTAATTTGTCGATTAACTATCGCAGGTAGTACCAGAGGAAACATTTTGGAGTTCCACCGCTCGAGGTAAGAATGATGGAAGGGTTGGATTAGCGTCTCTCCATCTAAAGAATTTTTTTCCCTTGTTTACCTACGCGTATAACATCAGAGCTCGCAAACACAAACACGTCTTTCCATCAGGCCAAAGAGACGCCTTTCAGAGCTGATTAAGGTTACAGACATTTCGGTCTAAACAAGACTCAAACGGATTCCAAGAAAATGGTAACAAAGTGGAAAAGACAGGCGGAGGAAGTAAAGGAAAATATCAAGAAACTAGTTTCACACATACTCTTACCCGACACAGAGCAACGCCAGCGCTCCTCTATGCCAAGGATCCTTTTTCCACTCGTCCTTCACAAATACCCTCACAAATACGCATCAATACGTGCACACACGGATCTCTCTATCAAACCAACGCGGTCCCTTCGATTCAAGACTAAAGGTTAGCCCCCGTGCGGGAAGGTGGGAAACAAAGAGGGGACAGACGGCGGAAATGCGGGAAAACATCAGGAAACTAATTCTGTGTCGTTTCTCGAGGAGGAGGGTCGATGGCTGTCGCATTTCGCGATTTATAGGGCAAGATTGGACGCGTTTTTCAGAACGCGACCTGGAGAGATCCAGTCGTAGCGGAAGCACACCGCTTCGAAGAGTCGTGACTTACCGATCGATTGCTTCCAAGTCACAGTCGGAATGGGAAATCCTTCAGCCTGACAGGCGATGGAGACGCCGTGACCTACAACGGCGTTCTGGTCGATAGGTTCCACCGTCCACCGCGGCGGCACTAAAAATACGATCCAATTGGCTTAAAATCTTCTGGCTCGCCCATCCCGACAGCGGACGTGCGTTTCATCCCGAGCCCTATCTCGAGCTATCCCCGTCGACGATGCTTCTACCGAGCCCGTTCACGGAACGCGAATTGCCGTCAATTACGACATCCGTGAGCATTGTACGCCACCTTTGGACGTCTTTGCCGCGTTCGCTAGAACGTTTCCTCTCGCTGACAATGCTTCGTTTCGATTCAACGAAACATCTGATCGTTTCTACACAACACGCTGGACCGGCGAATTGAATCTTATAAAGGCAGACCTGCCGCGTCTTACACGGGACGTACCGTGTAACGAGCTTGGTCTACAAACTCTATACTATACGCTTTGTGAGACACCTGTGTTGAAAGACTGGTACATCCGAGGTTGAACATCTCGAACCTTTCCTTTATTTTATCCTTCGTATTGCTAAGGTTTTTTTATTCAATTTATTAATTTTTTCAAACTTTTCTTCGGGAAATTTCATGCAATCAAAATATAGCTTTTAATTTTCTAGATTTATAACAATGTTTACATCATTTGTGTTATTAAGTATTGTTAGACGATTGACGCAAGTACTCTGATACTATAATTCGTGACGTCGTTGATTGATTAAACATTAAACTACCCGCAGTAGTGTCTGAGAGGCTTGGTCGTAATTTCTAAGTAGAAATATCGAGTAATGGTCAGACGTGCCTGACAAATTCTCAAGATCAATTTCCTCTTAAACGAATACTCGTATACAAAAATTGTATTTATCAATTTGTACCAACTTTTTGCACCAATCGCTCTGCATTAGTAGTTCCCAAATTTTGCACAAAAACTTTCTACTATCAAGAACGACAGATCTGCCTTTGCAGAGGAACAAAGAACGTTTATTTATTTTTTTTCCCCTTTCATTGTTGAAGTATGAATCCGTTGAAGTCGATTGACGAACACACAGCAGGAAGATCAATCAACGTGTGTCCTCCATGGTTTCGGCGCCGACAGAACGCGAAAGATCATTTTCTGTCGGACTAATTAGCCATTGTTCCCGCGAACGTCGGTCTCGCCCAGAGACAGGGGAAGTTCGAAAGCGGGCTTCCGTCGACGGGGATTGTCGATCAGCTACTGTTTTCATTGTCGCGTGTTGGCTGGTGTATTTACGTATTCGTGTTGTGAGAAACGCATGCAATTCCCAACGGGTTCGATGTACTGCATACTTACGCATCGCTAAGTGTGTAAAACAACAACTGTGTGTCAACAGAGCCGACGGGTGTCTGTGTTTGGTTTACTTGAATTGACGATGTCGTATCGAAGGGATGGAAATGTTTACTCATTCGTTGTCTCAATCAAGAGGAAACTAATTACCAGGGAGAAAAAGTTCGAGCAGCAATTAAAATAACGAACGTACGACTGAATGGAAAAATCATCGAAACAAGGTGAAAAGAGGGAGCCTCCATGCATTCTTAACGTAAACAAAATCGTGCTTGTATAAACCGTGGGAACGTATCATTTGTAAAGTGCGGAACCGAGCGTGTATTTAACGCAGGGGGAGTCTCGAAGGTGGTAAACATAATGTAGGTTAATTGATAACCGAAAAGAAAAGAAAACAGGATGGGTACTCGTCGATCGATTCTATCAAACAAGGGAGAGTACTCTTTCAAAATATTGTCCGGTGAGAAAGTATCATCGTCGGGAGGTTTTAACGTGTCTCATGCAAGAATTATTGAAAAAATATAACGAAACACGGGCAGGCATCATTCCAAGTAAAATAGATTACGTGAATATAGAATGTAATAACGATCGATTTAAAGAACAACGTACGAACAACCGCAAACCTATCTCAAAGAGCGTTACTTGTAACCAGTACGGAGAAGAAAACACGCATAAAACTCGAGGCACACAGTAAATGTATATAAAAAACGTTGCTTCCAACATTCTCTTCCATCGTCATTCCAAGTTGCTCGTATGTATATTTATGGATACATATATAATGTTCATACATAACGTACGCACGTACCGCGACGTACGTACGTTATGTATAATTTATATATTAACCTATACATATATGTATATGAAAAATACCATGAGTGAGAAAAATTATTACGAGAAACGTATGAACCAGAAACGTTAACTACGCGAACGCATGCTTTACATCTGTCACAGACATTTGTTGCATTGCACGAGCACAATAAGTATCTCTCGGTACACGAAACCGCTACAAAGTACAATCAAAGAAGTGGATGATACGCTAACTAACGAACACGCGTAAATAGCAACGAAACGAAATAAAAGTAGTAAAAGGTAACAAAAAAAAAAAGAAAAAGAAAAATCAAACGAAAAGAAAAAACAAGAACCGCTCGCAAAAAATGAGAACGGTCCGTACAACAGAAAGGTAAAAAAGTAAAACGAAGAACGTGTCTAACTCTAATTAAAATTCAGCCTCGCTCAACGCTCGATTGCTACATCGATCTTCTTTTACAAAATGCTGATGAACGTGAGGATGTACACAATAACTAAACGATGAACAGAGAAACGAGAGCCGAACAAAAAAAAAATTATATCAATAACCAAGGTAATCTCTCTCTCTCGTTCTTTGCTTTTTCCTTGCCTTACCCGGCTCGTCGACGGATTAACTTGGCGATGATTAAACGTCGGCCGGAAGAGAAACTGGGCTCTTCCGTGTCTAATATCACGCAAAACGAAAGAAACCGTGCCCGCGGAATTCGTTCTGATTTGCCCCCGAATTGCTCTGCGTCGATTTGGCATGCACTGAGAGGAAAAAAAAATCGAAACGAAATCACGGGAATCATTCAGGGTACACGCTTCTTTCCTAGAACTTTGACGTCGAATGGTTCGAGTTACTTATTTTGGTCCTTCTCGATATATATATTATTTAGCACTGTTAAAATTAATGTGATTTCACAAACACGTTAAACCAATTTTTTATTTTATACGTAAATTAGTATAATTTTAGGAAAGACGAATTTATAAATATTTCGTATCATACGCCTACTCTTAAATTCTTTCTTTCTTTCTTAAAATTCACACATCTAATGTCCTGTATCACTTTAATCTTTATTTGTCTCGCAATCTTACTTTACACACGGCTACTGCTGCACTCCTCCTCACACTTTGCTTTATTGTATTCCACCTTAACACTAAACATACTGACGTTTGTAACTATTTCTACCAAAATAGGACAAATGATTAATCTTAAAGACATTTCTTTTAATTAAATACAACAATATGGTGCGTGGAACTAAATTGAGTAATGAAATGTAAAAATTATGTATAATTCATCGCATGTAAAAATTATATACAAAAATTCGTAAACTGTCATTTGACCGGTCACGGTAGGTTCAGTGTTACCATGGAGTACCACAAACTGAGGAGGATCAAAACGACTCGAGCCATTCGATAACAAAATGCTTCAAGGAATGCTTCACCTGAATAACTCTCCCACGCCAAGCAACAACATAAACAGTTAAAAATCACGGTTAAGCCTGCGTCCCTAGAAACCTCGTTCCCTTCCGTGGTACGTGAACGAACCCTTGGACTTCGTTGCTGTACGGCCTATCGGGTCGTGTCGTTATCATAATTATTTTCTTTTCGTCGTTAATCCCTTCCTCGCGAGAGTGCTGTCGCCATGGAGAGGATTGGAGTACGCGCGAAAAATTCTGTTGCTTTTCTGAAAGGAGAACGCCTGCTTCCGGTTGGACACCTCGACTCGACTCGGTACCCAGGCATACTATGCGAACCGCTATGCAGACCTCCTGGCATTCGAGGTAACGGTCCTCCTCGAACCCAGTAACCTCGATTCGGCTACATCGAGTCTTCCAGGGATCCGAATGGCTGGAATAGTCGGCACGACACAGTTCACCGGAACAATGTTTCCCGGAATGATTGTTTCAACTGCCTGGCTACTTTTTCCGCGTTCCGCTTCCCGACATGCACGAGGAGCCTTTGTTAGGACGGGTACGACGCAGAATTAATCCTATTGCGCTGCTTCGTCGATGGAGGTAAACTTTTCGTGCGGCCTCGCGGGCGAATTGAATAGTTTCGTTTTAATTTGTTAGAGTTATACATCCGAGTATCTGACGAGGAAATATTGAATAGACAACATTATTTTGTGTCAAACTGTAAGAAGGATTTACGAGGAATACGAATATGAAACCAGGAGACAAATGACAGAACCATCCTCTCTACTGTTTATACGCCAGGAAGGAGAAATGGTTATTTCTCTTCCTCGCTATAGGCTCGATTCGAGATCGAAATTGCAATATATCTTTCGAGTGATTGTCACCACACTTAACACAGAGTCCCGACCACTGTCATGTTTAGATCAAATCACAGTAGATATTGGCAGATTGTGCAAACCTAACAAGCTAGTTTACTCTGTACCAAAAACATACCCTCGCAAGTATCTAGGTTCCTTCACTACGCAGAAACTATCGCAACCCTCGCGAACGGAACAAAGTTACGGGAAATAACAATCTCCTGTCAAAGATATTGCAGTTTCCACTGTTCCCTCGGCGTTCGTTGCGCTGAAAGACGCCGACGACAAAGGGCGAAGACGCTCGAAGCTGGCGCGTGCAAACAGAAAATTCCCGATAAAGGCTGCGCCGATCGCGGACCTGTTGCAGCCAGCACAGAAGATGGTGGCTGCTGATGAACGCGGAGATGGAGCTAAAAGCGCCGGCAGACTTCCATTCGATGGGACGGGCCACGACAGCGCTTTGCAGCGTTGGCTTCGGGGTGTTTTCAAAGAGCCAAAGGGGTGGAAATTTGTTTCGCGATTCGGAGGCCGTGCATTGTCGCGAAACTTTCAAGCGAAATCGCTCGACTTCGAAGTCCCCGGGAGCGAAAACTTGACACTTAATTATTTATGGACGTAACGAGGGGGCCAAGGGACGGCAGGGAGTTTCAGGGGAGCACGAAAGGTTCGAGGGACTGTTTCTAAACGTTGAACGAGCTCCGCGGTGATGCGCCCGAG